AAGAAACCCCAAAAGCACCGTGCTGAAATGCAAGAAATAACGTTTCTTTTGCCACACAGGTAGGAAGACAAAATGAAATTGCACGGCAGCAGCAGCCCTTACAATGTATCTCCCAACCTTTGGCCATCTCACCTGTGGGTCTGGAGCTGGGTTGGCACAGGTTTGTAGTCAGGCAAGGCAGACACCCTTGTGACCGTGGTGGATCACACCCTGTCAGGTACCGCTGAATCCGGGTCGCTGAATCCGTCCTGGGCAGGCTCTGTGTGGTGTTCCCAGCGGGTTGGGCTCTGTCCAGCCCCGCTGCCCGTGGCTGCCTTGCTGTGCCGGTGCCGTGCTGGCCATGGCACCCCCCTTGGCTGAGCGGTGTAGCCATGGCGCCGTGGGGCTGTGGTGTCCCCTGTGACATCCTGCGTGACATCCTTGCCAGGAGGACACCCAGAGGGTGCTCCCAAGGCGCGGCACGGCCGCCTGTGTGTCCCCCTGGCCGCGGTGCCGAGCGGTCGCCGGCTGTGCTGCCCCAGGGTTCGGCAGGACCCCAAGCACTTTTGGCCCCGCTTGTTGCCCCTGCCATGGATGGGAAGGGCCCCTTGAGGGGCAGCCCAGCGAGCGGATCCTCCCCTACTGCCGTGCCATGTAATTGTAAAGAAAGTTGTTACCGTCACGTCCCGCCATCGGCGATGGACGTCGCGTTTCCAAACTCGGAGCAGCTCTGACCATCGGCTCTGCGGCGCAAAGAGACAGTCCTGCGTGTCCAGGCGGCAGAGCACCCCCGTGGAAGTGCCCCTCTCTCCTCAGTTCTCTGCAGCAAACCTGTTTACATTGTAGCCTGACTTTTTTCTTTTTATATTTTTACTTCTGCATGTCCTTTGCATTTCAGATACTGTAGATTGGATGCATGGTGAAGCTGTGACTGAGAAGATAATACAACAATTGACAGTGTATTATTTCATTTAACTTTTAGCAATAAAGTAACTAAACCCTCTATTCCTCACCCATGATGGGGTCAGATAGAATACTCTGCTAATTTGTCATAAGATGATTGTCAAAGTTTGCTCTGGATTGTCTGAATGTCAGAACTCTCGACTGTTTAACACTTGAACATTTTTTATATTATAAATAAAATAAGAAATAACAAGCTGTGGGCTGCATTAATATCAGGCCCTTTGTGGGGGCAAATGGGGAGCTGTAACAGGTACCATCCACAGAATCACAGACTGGTTGAGGTTGGAAAAGATTTCTTCCAAATTCCCTGCTACCTCAGCTAACCCAGAGCCACTTGCCCAGGCCTGTGCCTGATCAGGGTTTGAATATCTCCAGGGATGGCAACACCACAACTTCTTTGGATAACCTTTGTCAGAGCTTGGTTCCCCTCAAAGCAAAAAAGTGTCTTCTTGCATTTGGACTGTATTTACTATTTTTTTATTTTCTGCCCATTGCCTCCTGTCCTGCCACTGGACGCTGCTGAGAAGAGTTCAGTTCCCTCTTCTTCACTGCCTCCCATCAGGTATTTGTACATATATAACATCCTCCTGAGCCCTCTCCAGGCTGAACAGTCCCAGCTCCCTCATCCTTTCCTCATATGAAAGATGCTCTGTTTCAGCAAAGATCTTTATGCCCACAGAGACCCATAGGTAGGTGCTTTCCTACCTGGCATGGAAATCTGACCATCACTGCAGGGCTTAGGACTGGAGACCCACTGAGGTGAGTGAATGCCACCCTCACATCTCTCGGGTGGATCCCATTCCTTCTCCAGTTGCACACCAGAAGATCCTCCTTCACTCCAAATGTGGCAGCTTTTAGTTGTTCCAAGAGGGGCCAAGATGTGTGGCATGTGCTACATGCTGGCACCCATTTCAATGACTTTTTCAGCAGAGTGGAGACATGTTGGGTCCAACCCTGCCAGTGCTGTGCTGTCGTACAACACCTGCCCACCCACAAAACAGGTCCCCTCTTCAGCTCTTCCATGGCAAATCCATGTCTCTGGATAGCCTCCCTGTAGGGCACTCACTGACAACACAGTGTATTCACAGGCATCACAGCCCCTGAGGGCAAGCTCATGGCTCAGCCCAGCTCACATCTCGCTCCCTTCTTCCTGCTCAGTGAGATGAGGAGGTGCCCAAAAGTCCCAGATGAACTCCCCTAGGAGGAGAGGGATCTGCTACACGCTGGTCTGAGACAACCCTGTGGGAATGGATAAGTTGGAACTAGATGACCTTAGAACTAGATGATCTGGTTGGAATGAGATGACCTTTAAGGTCCCTTCCAACCCAAACCATTCTATGATTCTCTGAATGCACAGAGCCATGAGAGAAGCCCCCACCCCTCACAGTGCTGCCCATGCTGAAGGCCCAGCTAACCACACCCACAGCCTGGGCTTCTTCTGCTCCACCCGCCCCCCCCCAGGATGCCCATTGCCTTGGAGCTAACCCTGCTGGGTCACAGGCCACCCCTAACACCCATCCCATGTGCTGAGGGGACTCCAGACAGACCAGAGGGCTCAGCACTTCACCCTCAATAAGGCATCTCAACACCAATTACACAGAAGGTCAAAGGCTGAAGGACCCTGCCCTCCTGCCACAGGGCCCATGTCACCCAAGGAGGTCTTACATGTCTAGGACTGGGGATAAAGGTGGTAGGGTCACATCCTGATTTGGGTGACGTGTGCCATGTAACCCTTGAACACATCATGCCCCACTTCTGTGCAGCCCCAAGCCTTGCTGGATGAAGGCAGTGGTACCTGCAGCTCTCTACTCCCCCACTGCTCTGGGGAAATGCTCCAACTTCCCATTGCCTTTGGTCTCCCGTCTTATCTCCTCCAGTGGCTCCTGGAGCATAGTGAGATGGACAGGAACAGACAGAGAGCACCCGACCCCTTGGAAGAGACACAAGTGGGAGATCACCAAGGCTGATCCCTGGGGAAACCAGAGAAATAGAAAAGAGGTGGGGGACCATCGAGTTCCCAAAGCATCCGTGGTTCTCCTCAGGATCTGTGAGCTTGTGAGCTCCATTCATGGAGAAGTCTCTCCTGTAGGAAGGTGCAGCTCTTGGGTCTCCTGCTGCCAAGCTCTGGGCTGGAGTGCAGAGCAGCCCTGGGGTGCAAAGGAACCATGTGGCCAAACATCAGTGCAGCTCATCCCCACCGGGCATCCCTGCTGCTCTCTGCTCTCTGGGTCGCTCAGAAAGGAGCTGGGGGTTTGCCCTGCACAAGGGGATCCTTCCCTGCTCCGTGGTTTGCAGGGACCTGTGATGCTCTGCATTGCTAAGACATCACTAGCTCTGAGCCATGGCAGCCTCAGGATTTTTTTTTCGTGGTGATTTCTCGTCAAACGTGCCCCTTGATTCCCATAATTGTGTGCTATATTTAGAGGCAGTTACGCTACTTCAATTTTCTCTGCGATTGCCTCTGAAGGAAGCCTGTATCTCTCTCCTTTTTCCCCTGGCTGGTTTATTTTTAGCCTCCTCATTTCCAACCATGTGTATTCCCAGGGTTCGCCCGTAAATATTTTACAGCGATTTTCACAGGTGGGGGGAGCCACAGAAGCCTCCTGCCAGCTCTGCTCTGCCTGTGTAATGCCTTTGCTGCCCTTCCCAGAGGGGAAGGAATTGCTCTGCTGACACAGATCGGGTGGCACAAGCAGGAGGGGAGCACCAGATCCCGGTTTTGGGGGCACAAAGCCTCCCCCACAAAGAAGTCCCTCTGAAATGAATTTGGTGCTGTGTCCAGGAGAAGTGGTCAGGTTGAACCACCACTGTCAGGTGAGGTTGTGTGAGGCCCAGAGCAGTCGTGGTGGCTGCTAGGGGGGTTGGCACAGGGTGGGGATGTGCCAGAAAGCACATCTGGATACCTCCAGGAAGAGAAAAGGTTGTGGCTCTCTAACTCCTCTGAGATGCTGCTCTTCTCTCCTAGTGGTGGGTGGCTTGAGTCCTTGACCTCCAGGGGGGGAAAGAGGGAGGAAAAAACTATTTTCTTCCAGGTCACAAGTTGAGGATGTGGATTGGTCAAACGAGGAATTTTTGGCTGTTCTCAGTGCCCTTGAGCAGGTGAGATGCTCTCACTAAACCTGCAAGTGTGTCAACCTGGATCAGGACTTGTGCCCTTGGCAAACTGCTGGTAGTTTTACCCTCAAAGTGCAAGTTTTTACCCTCAGAGCTGTCTTGCCAGGGGCTGTCTGACATCAGCTGCCACCCCTTTCCACATCCATGGGGTGCTGAGTCTCAAGGCTTTGAGACCTTATCCTGGTGCCCAGACAAGACTTTGCAAGATCCTGCTTTTCTCTGCAAGCTCCTCCCAGCTGAGGATTGCAGATTGGCACCTTCAACCAGGGGGCTGAGCTGCTCTTGGTGGCAGCTCAGACACACTGGAGATGCCACTGCCCTCTGGAAGGGATGCTTGAGCTGAAGTACAAAGTATGCCTGGGATTTTGGAGAGGAGGAGTTAGGTCCAGGTTTCTCCACTGTGGGAGTCTGGGCACCAGACACTTCATGTGAGTAGGAGCATCTTGGAGACCTTCAGAGCAAGGGATATACAGTACCTGACACAAAAGCAATGATGCCTTGCAGAAACAGCCACTCAGTGTAGCCCTGGGCTCCTCCTCTCCCCCAAGAACATCTCCAACCCCCAGTGCAGGTGTTGGTACCTTCCTTTCTACTCCCATAACTCTCTAGGCTGCACATGAACAGACACACCGGGGATGCACCAGCTGGAGAGAAGAGTTCCTGAATGTGTCCCCAAAGCAGTCCATCTGTCCACACCTGCTCTAGGGTTGTCATCCATCCAAAGCACAGGCAGGCCAGTGCTTTCAGCCCCCAGGAGGATGGGTGGGGTTGTAACCCACTTGTGGAAAGAAACTGCCATTTTCTAGTGCTGTTTGTCCATAGAATCCTGGTTTTTGTGCAGCAGGTGTTGGTAAAGACCTGTATCAGCCTGGCCTTCTGGTGCTGTGAAATCTGGGATCAATCCAGAGTTGGATTCCACACGGTGGAACTCTGCTTTAGACCAATTCTCTTTACCAACAGATTCAGCTTTATTGTTATTCTTTTTTTTTTACATGATTCTTAGTGCATCATTTCAAATAAACTATCAAACTGTACAAAGAAACAGAGATAAAAGAAGAGGTGACAAAGTTGGGAAGAGGTTTTTAGTGTCATGAACCATCATGGAAAACAGTAGTCCATACGCTTTCAAACGTTGAAGGTCCAAATAAATCTTATTCTTTTTGTTTTAAAAAATGCTGCAAAAGATAAACAATAAATGACTGTAATTAGCAGCTACAAGATCCTTCAAAACTGGAACTTGATTACTGTGAATGCAAAGAGGGGAAAGAAAAGCAATCTGAAATAAAGGACCAAACCAAACTGTGAAATAAATAAAGCGTGGGAGGACGGTCGTGGCATTGAAATGCAGAGGAATCACTTCAGCACAACAGCAAATCATTGGACCACAGACAGCAGAAAGGAACAGAAACACAATTCCCCACTTAAAAGAGTACAGCATGTGCATCGCAGGATGGAGGGATCCAGCAGGGATGGGCAGGTGGGATTGCTCCTGCACACAAAGGTTCCCTGGAGCTGTTGCACAGCTCCAATTGTGCCTCAAACCCAAAGTGGTGGATGTTGTGGTTGCCAAATAAGCAGCCACTTGGCCAGTTTGTCTGGATAAGCAGGAATGGGAGAGCGATGTTCCACAGCAAAGCCAGGTGGGACTTCCATTCGAGTAAAAAAAATGAGAAAAAGGGGAAAAAAAAAAAAGATACATAGGCTACTGCAATTTTTAAAACATCCTGGTGGGCTGGTCAGACCCTCCACGCCCCTAGCGACTTCCCCAGGCAGCTTTGCCTTCACTTGCACACTGAGGTTAAAAACCCACGTTAGAGTTTCCTTATATATATATATTTATTTATATATATTCATATGTATATATATATATATAAAAAGGATAAGGTGACAGAGGGCACTCCAGGCCTCTCCTGCCAGGGGCAGATGATGTTCCCATGTGCCACGCTGGAGACACCTCTCACTTGGTCCGTGATCAGCTCACGACACCCACGTCTCGTGTCAAGACGTGCTGAAGGGTGCTCCCCTCACGGGAGGGACGTGCTCCTGCCCCTCTGTGCCCTTCTCTGGGAGCGCTGGTGGTGCCACAGACCACGTCATCTCAGCTGAGTTTCCTGCACTGCCGGGGACTGTGACCATGAACCGGTGGGGACTCCAGGGAGGGAAGGCGGAGAGAGAGGGCTGGTGGAGAGAAGAGCAACCTGGCCCTTGAAGAACCAGCAACATCCCTTTGTTGTGCAGGCTGCAGCAGGAGGGAAAGAAAAGCCACTGGTGCTGTTGGGAATGAAGAAGAGATGATGCTGAAATGCCAGAGCATTGTCAGAGAGTGTCAACTAAAGCTTCTTTGATTTCTTTCACTAGAGCAATCCCCATGTCATACATGTCTACGGTTTTGCTCAGATAATTTCCTAAGTAAAATTGTGCTCATCGATCTAGTCCAGGAGCGCAGAGCATCGCCGGTTCATCCCCCTGTGCGCACATTCCTTGTTAAGTGTTCTGCTCTAAAATGTCCTTTTCTGCCTTACAGCTGCTGGACAGGTGCCCTTGGCTCAAGGAAGGGCTTGAATGTGTCTTCCTCAAAGCAAGGTCCTCAGCTTCCACCTTGAAGAAACTGGTCTCGATTCTCTCCAGGTCATCCGTCCCCACTTTTATCTTCATGCACAGCAGGTTGATGTACGTCTCATAGCGGCTCTTCTGCAGGGAAAGAGGGAACAGAGAGCCTGGCAACAGGTACAAGCCACGGTGGGTGTGGCAATGCCATCTGCTGCTGCAGGAAAACCCATCCTGTACCGTCAGGATCCCACCAATCTCACCCCCCAGGTTTAACCTCAGCACAGTGCCTGGTCTTTTTAAGGACTTGGGCAATACCCATCCTTTCTCTTAACATCTCAGAGGCAGCCTGTGCTGGCTTCTTTGTCAGCCCAGAGAAACAAGCATTTCTAGAGCACATCTCATAAGGCAGATGAGATGAATTATACTCTGGAAGTGCCAGCTTCTCCTTGCAGGCTGAAAAGGCAGCCCAGAGAAATGCTCGGATGGAGACTCCTCTGCAGGCATCCAAAACAAGATGTCTGGAAAACGGGAGGCAGCAGCAACTGTTTGAAAGGTTGGTACAAAGACAAGGGAACCGGCAGCCAGAAGCTGTGGCTTTGGAGAGTCTGGGTGTTACACAAAAGGGTGGTGCAGCCCTGGCATGAGGGAGGTGGAATATTTCCATCCCTGGAGATTTCTGAGGCTCAGCCACTAAATGACACACAGTCTGGGCTAAGACTACGAATACTCCAAGTTCCTGCTGGAAGCAAGACTAGAGGCCTCCAGCAGTCCCTTCCCACTGACACCTATGTGGCAGGAATCTTCTGCTCAACTCTCACTGGAACGAAATATCCCATTTGTCCCACAATTAAATGCCTATTAAGACTTTAAAGAGAGCTAAAACTTAGTTACATGCATCCTCAAAGAGTCTGTAATCAGCTGTAATGCTGGGTTTGGCTTTATTCACAGAAATTGTTGCAGCAAAACAAGATTAATTCTCTCAGGGATTCCCTTCACTTTTTATTAATGTTGCTGCAAAAGACTGATGCACACTGAGAATTGAACCACTTTCTTACTTGGGACCTGAGGAAATGTCAAGATCTGGCACAGTAAAGGAAGATTTTCTTTCTCTCATCAGTTTTCCCCTCCTCTGGTTAGAAATCACAGAGGGGAGAGAATGTCTGTTATGTCTTTTTTTAGCTTCAGTGCAAAACAGCAAGGCTTGCTCCTGTCCCAAGACACCCAGCCAGCTTGGGAACTCTTGTCCTTCTCTCTCCTTTCATGCTCTCCCAGGCCCACAGCATCCACCCCGCAGTTCTCAGTTCTCCTCAATCAGCCAAGGTATCATTTATCACAGAAAAGATGAAAGTTCCTTTACCTCAAATATTAGGTAATGTTCTTTGAGTCTGTATTCCTCAGCCTCTTTTGACTTGAGGCTCTTCTCTACAGGATGTAATTTATGCTCTGCTAATTCGTCTGCAATCTGCTTCATTTTATTTTCATGAGACCTCAGCTGTTCCTCCTGCCGAGAGAAGAGTTGTCAGGTATTAAAACGTGGGAGTGCAGCACCCAAGTGCACCGCCTGCCTGTGGATGTGGGAGCTCTCTCTGCAAGGACAAAAGCTCAGCTACTGTGCCAGAGCCAAAGGTGTGCTGTGAATTTGCAAATTCATCTGATAAGGAGCAGTGGAAACACAGGGATTTGAGTGAGTCCAACCCTCGGGGATCTCAGGTGCCAAGAGCGGATTTTTTTGGCGTCTGGGCGTCTTTAGCATCATAAACGTGAAATGCTCCACGTCCTTTAACAGCCAGGCAGAACCAGCACTGTCCAGCTGGTCATCTTGCTCCTTTCAAGATAAGAGCAGCCTCCTCATTTGGGCTCTGAGAAAGGTGACATCTGGCCACATCTGGCTCGCTTGACAGGAGCTGTATCTCTGCCCTGTCAACCAGTTCAGGTTGTCCTCCCCTTTGCTGGGGGGCACTGGCAGTGTGTCCCTACTTTTTGGAGGTGCCAAGATGTGTTGGGATTTCCCTGCATAGGGAAACAGAAGCTCCACTTTGGATGGCAGCTGCTTTTGGCGAGCTGAGCCTTGGGCAGCTGTGGCCTTGTGCACTGGGACCTCTTGCTTCCAGAAACTTCTCTACTGAGTGAGACTCAGACTCCCCCTTCGCCTGTGGCTTTTAAGCTCAAGAAACAAGAGGCTGCCACCTCTAAGTACATATTTCATTGTAAAGTAAACCTGGGCTGCAGGTAAATAAAATAAAAACACAATAAACCTGCAGAGCTGTTGGGCTCTGCAGCATCAACTGTGGAACTATTCAGCTCTTTCAACTCCAGCAACTGGAAGGCGCTGGGATGTGATGGGCAAGGAGCAATAAACAAGCCAGAACCAACAGCCAATCAGGCAGATGTGGGTAGGGCTGTTTACAGCCACTGCAAAGGGAGCATTGGCCTGACACCAGGATTTTCCATGTCTGTCCAAGTCACCTGCTCCACTGCCCTGCTCCTGCCCTGAGCACCTCAGTGTGCCCATCAGGCAGCAACAGGGGGACCTGCAGATGAGTTCAGCATGAGCTGCCTGCTGAAGGGCTTGCTGATACCCCTCCATCACTCCTTCTCTCAACATTACCTGGCACAGCTTGGTCATGGACGAAGGCAGGAGAGGGCGGCAGAACTTCTTCATGGAGCAGATTGCAGCTGGGAAGGCTGGAGCAGAGAAAATGGCAGCAACAAGGTTGATTCGCAGGATCCAGGAGAGCATTTCTTCCTTACTCCTGTTATGGAGGAGGGCAGAAGAGAGAGGGTGTCTGTAAACGCTCCTGACCCAGGACTAGCCAGCTCACAATGGTCCTGGAGCCACCCATGCTCAGGAGGGACATCAGTGGCTTTGCTTTGAACCACTTCGTGCCACCCTGGGTTGTGATCCGAGGGGAATCCTGGATAATTGGCTCCTCCACAGTGCCCCAGTGATTTCAGGGCTGCTGTGTGTCTCTAAATCCTGGCAGTCCTGCCTTCCTCATCAGCTCTGTCAGCATTCCTGAGGAGCTGGGGACAGGCCAGGGCCAAGGATGTCCTGCTCTTTGGAGAGCAAGAGCCACACAACAGAGGTCTCAGGGAGCAGGATGGATCCCTCGGTTGTGTGATTGGTGGGACATTACCCAAGGTCTCTCATCAAATTTGTTCAGGCACTGCTCCCCCAACCCTGCCAGGGGTTTTTGCTGCGGAAATTCAGATGTCAATCTTTATCTTGATAGCACTCCAGCCCAACTTCCAATGTCACTTCTCTCAGCAGATGTGAAAAACATGAGACAGAAGAAATGACTCAATCACACTTGACACTTATGAACAGCACAACTTTCCTCTGCAATGGACTAAGGAAGGAAGAAGATCCAGCCAGGCTGAGACATCTTCTCTGAGGAGCTTTAGATATTTTCCCATCAAAGGATGATGAGGGGAACCATCCCCTCCTCAGTTCCATGCACCACATGGATTTTCTCCCTTTCACTGCTAGTTGAAGTTAGCAAGAGGAGCCTTTTACTCAGCCCTTTTCATCCCAGCCCATCCTGCTCAGCCCAGCCTGGTGACAGATGAGAAAGACCTTCAGGACTGACACAAAGCTACAAAGAAACTGTGACCTACAACCAGGTCCTTTGAGCAGTCCCTCAGCTCCTTGCTCCCCCCAGCCCTGTCCCCTGACGTGTGTGCTGACCTGGGCAGGTCAGGGGGACTCTGGCAGTGGCAGGAGGTCAGGCTGCCCATCCAGGGAAGAGCTGGTACTCACGGGGCCTGGAAGAGGAAGACTCTCCAGTCAGCTGTCTTCAGCTTGAGCACGTTGGACTTCTTGCTGTAGTCGGAGGCTTTTGTGGCTAAGGCGTGGTGCACACGGATGGCGTTCTTCAGATCCACTTCAGAGAGGTCTTTGTCAGGTTTATATTCGTCCTGTGAGGAGGAACGTTAATTGGATAATGACTACACTAACACTTGCGGGCTGCTTTAATGAACCTGCCTCTCTCCCCCCACCCGTGCTATAATCACAGAGTGCCGGGACCAGGAAAAAGCACTGCTTTGTACAGTAAATGCTGGGAGCTGATAATGATAATAATTAACATCTGGCAACTGCTTCCATCATTAAGTTCACTTGGAAGATGTGAAGAAGGAGATGAAAGTTTCGAACATAATTAGCAATAGTTATCTCTAACATGGCACACGCCTGAGGCTTCGGGGGAAGGCGCAAGGCAGGGCCAGGGTTCTGCAGAGCTGCCCCCACAGCTCAGAGCTCGAGCTGGGATGCAATTCCCAGTCCTCAGTGGGTATCAGTGAGCACCTGGCCTGGTGCTCCAGCTTCACAGAATCATAGAATCACAGAAGGGTTTGGATTAGAAGGGACCGTAAAGCTCATCTCATTCCACACCCTGCCATGGGCAGGGGCACCTTCCACTAGCCCAGGCTGCTCCAAGCCCCACACAACCTGGTCTTGGGCACTTCCAGGGATGGGGCAGCCACAGCTTCTCTGTGAAAGCTGTGCCAGAGCCTCACCACCCTCACAACAAAGAATTTTTTTCATTTATCTAACCTAAGTTTGAACCTGAGTTTGAGCCCACTACTCCTTGTCCTATCACCCCAGCTCTGTGTGGAGGAGGGTCTGGGCTCTGGAACAGCAGCATCCCTGCAAACATACATCTTCCATACATCTGTGGGGTTTGCTGGGCAGTTGCCAGACTGAGTGTGGCTCACCTGAACCACTCTTGGTCTCCCTTTAGTACCCCCTTGGCACAGTCTCCCCTCTAATTTGTTATACTGGCACTTGCAAATTGCAGCAGCATTCCCTGAGTTCTGCTTTGCTTTCTCCACTGAAGGACAATTTCACACAAGTAGGGAATCAGGCAATAACTATATATGTGTGTATTTTATAACAAGGTAGAAAATGCCAAACATGGAATCCTGCAAGTATGACCTTGGCACAGCACTCTTTGGGAAAAAGCGGAGTCCACTCAATCCAGTCAATGTTTACTTTCTGCTTTCCCAGTGACTGAGCTCATGGCCACTTAAAACAGTACCCTTTCTCTCACTCTGCACCCCTGCCAGCTCAACAGCTGGTCCAGCTGGATGGTGGGATGGAAGGATGGAAAGATGGATGGATACACACACGGACAGGCGATGTGAGAGAACCCGGCCTGGCTAAAGCAAAGCACCTCGCCATCACCCTGAGCGTGGCAGGACAGGGTGCCCCTGGAAGGGCCTGCCTTGCCCTGGAAGGTTACAGTGCCACAGGACTACTGTGCTCTACAACTTGCTCTACTTGACTGCCCTTGGTTGTGAGCACCAGGGCAGCTCTGTCTGGTGGTGGTCTATCAGTCCCAGCCCCTCCTCAGCTTTCAAGCCAGACCTCAGTTTGTTCTGCAAGTTTGCAAAAAGATGGTTTTCTCCTGTGTCCTGGTGATACAAATCCAGCTGTTCAGGAAGAGACATGCTGCAGATGGTTACCACGGTCAGTGAGGCTGTTCTCTGGTGTAGGGCGAGAAAGGTTGCTCTTCAGAGCACCAGCACTTCCCAGCCCATGGATGTGGCTCACTGACAGGAAACAAGCTTCTGAAGCCTTTCTTCCCTCCTTTTTTGAAGTAATCATCCCATCCAGAAGAGTGGTTGCCATACTGTGTTCATCAGCATTTGAAACTTGGCACTGTGCAAAAAAAAAAATGCCATGGGGCCACCCAGAAATGTCAGGGAGGGACTCCTGGGCTTGGTGAACCCCAAAGAATAGCCCTGGCTTTCCAGCAGAGGAAGGTTGGGTGCTGCAGGCCCTCTGTGTTTGGGTGGGCCTTCAGATGGGTAGTATAAAGGATTTCAGTAGCCAGAGGAATGGGTTGTTAGCCTTGCAGTAAAGAAAAACAAATGCTTTGCCTTGGGAGGACCTAATGTGTTCCCCCACCTGGAGAGAAATACTTGTTTGAGAGCGACATTGCTGCTCAGGCCTCCTATATTGTAGAGATCCCCCAATTCAGGATGTTTTTCCAAGGCTGAAGCTCTCTGGATCTGAATAAATCTGACTGTGCTGCCCATGATCTCTAATTTCAAGATAAGCTTTCTGAAAATACAGCACAAATAACTCGGCTTAAAGACGCATGACAAGAAGAACCTGCCACAACTGCAAAGTGCTTTGACTAAGGCAGCTCCTCAGCCTGAATGGAGTCATCAGGTAGTGCTTTATGGATTTCAGGCTCTCAGGCTTCCGTGTTTATGTAAGGAAAAGCCAAATCTTCTTTTTCCAAGGCTGGGCCCAGTAAATCAGCGGGAGTCTGAATGGAGAGGGTTCTCTCCACCTTCTGCCTCCCTGTTTGCAGGAGTGCAAAGTGCTGGAGGTCACTGCATGGGCTGACCCTTCCAGGAGGCTCATCCCAGTGCCTGTGCTGTGGTGGTCATGATGGTGTGGATGGCTGATGATGCTGAGGGATGTCTGTGTTGCTCTTAAACTGCTCCATCCACAGACATCCCCAAGGCTTGCCTGATGCCTCCCACGTCTGAAGCCAACACAGTGCCCAGTACTTACACCACACTGTAACCTACTCCACGTAGCCTCTCCCTGGAGAATAATCCCTTTGCCCTTCAACAAATCACATCAGCTCTGCTCTGAAGTCTCCAGCAGCTTCTCTTCGTTTTGCCTCACACCCTTTCTGAGCTTTGTTGTAAGTTCAAATGTGAGCATAAACTGCTGCTGAGCGAGAGATGTGTCCAAAAACATAACATTTAACAGAGACACTTCCAGTGAAGTGATTCCAGTTTAACTCTCAAAGAAACTGATCTATACTAAAACATAAGTGATATCATGTTTGGAGGAACTTCAGGCAATGTTTTGTCCACTATATTGTATCACTAATCTTATTCCGTGGTCTTATCCTGCCATACATTTCCTGGCAAAGAGGCTGATTTGCTATCAGGGGCTCCAGAATTTTTGTCATATGTGTCCTGCACCATTCCCACAGGTACCTGTCACTGGGAAATGGGCAAAGGAATGCTGTGCTACATCATTCCAGTTACCCTGAGCCCCCAGCCCTTGAATGGTGACATGTCGATTTTTCCCTTGCTTCTCCAGGTGTAGGACAGTGGGGGTCAGCACTTTCCAGGGTCTGTTTCGGGGATATCCTCTGCAGGAATTGATCCCAGGTGTGCACACTTTGTTTCAGAATCCCTTTAAATTTCCTCTCAGCTCCTGATGCTGATGGTGTAGCCAGATTCCCCACTCACGTGCCTTCCCTGCTGCACCAAGGCTCTGCTTAAACACACACGACCACCTCCTGGCCTGGGCTCAGCTTTGGCCATGGTTGTGCTCTTGAAAGCTTTGGGCCACTGTCCCCTGCTGCCCACCCCTGTGAGCAGGTGGTGGGAGATCCACCAGTAATCTCAAAGCTTGTTTTGTCAAGAAAAGGCCCCTACATCTTGTCCCTGCCTTTGTAGGGCACCCAGATGTGGTGAGAGAGCCTCGGTGTGTCTGCAGCCCTCTCCTCTGGCCTCAGAACCAGCCCTGGGCAGTGCTGGGAATACAGACATGGAGCGACAGAGATTCCTCATGGTCTGGCTTGTGAGTGGCTTCTCCTCTTCTTCCTTTTCTTCACCTCACATCTACCAGCCTAAACAAACCATTTAATAAGGAATACTAACCCTTGTGCACTTTCCAGTCTTGACAAGGACCTGGCTCTCCCAGGAGCACTGTCTTGGCAAGGGCCTGCCTGCAACAGCATCTGTGGCTCAGGGCTTTGCTGGGAACCCCCTCGTGGCTGGGGACTGCAAGGGCAGAACCTGAGGGAAAACCTGCACCCTTTCCAGTACCTCTGTATAAAAGCACCTCATGCTTTACAGGCTCTCCATCATTCTTCTCAACACCCCTCCACGCGTGGTGATTAAGGGTTATTATCCCCATTTCACAGAGGTGAAGTAAGTTGCCAAAGGCCATGGAGTGAGTCAGTGCCCAGAGCAGATTAGTGCACAGGAGAGGTGTGCCCTGCTCCCAAGCCTGCATTTCTTCCTCAAGAAATGTGCTGCAGCCCTTTAGGGGATCAAGCAATTGCTCCAGCAGACTGTGCTCCAACATGCTGATCCAGCAATTAACACCAGCACGTCAATGACATGTGACATCTCCTCACCAGCAGATTCATGGCTGCTGCCTGAATTGTTTCTGTCAGACCCACTTCTACCTTTTCACCCACCCACCCTTCTGCCCATTTTATGTCCACCTCTCTGTCTGGCTGTTCCTCCTTTTATCTACCTCCCCAGGCCCTTCTTCCCCCCAGCTTTCCCTGTATCTCTCACTCTTATTTATACTCAACTTGCTCCTCAAACCAAATGCAGGGGAGTTTCCTGTGAAACTCATGGGAATTTACTATTAAAGCCCAGATCTTGATTTGGTCTGAGCAAAAAAGTGGAACAGGCTGAATCTGTGCTCCATGAGCCAAATGGGTCTGCAGGCAGGTACTTTGTCCTCACACCAGAAAATCTTTTCCCAGTGATTTGTGCTCAAGCCAGGTTCTACCTTATGTTTATCTGCAGGCATCTTCTGCTGAGATCCTGGAGGCTGGCATACCCCTTCCCTCTGTACTGTGCAACCCCTTTGCTCTGCAAACCACCCCATAGGCAAGAAATGGCACCAGGACTCCACAGGGCAGGTGGATGTTTATCCACTCTCATAGCTTTGGGAAGGTTTGGAAATGACAGGGAAAAGACTTTGTCTTCATGGTCCCATCCTTCTGTTCTGTCTCTGCAGGCATGGTAGACACTGTCCACAGCAAAGCCCAGCGCGAGGAATCCCCCAGAGAGGACTATAACACAGTCTGGAAACCCCTCTTTGCCCAAATCCTTTGCCCAAACATTCCTTAGCTTTATTACTGTTGTTGTTCCAAATGCAGCTCCCTTGGGGCACTCTTGGCAACTCTGGTCCCTCCTGCTAATTACACATCAGCCATGGTTGTTATTTATCAGACACTTTCATTACCTAAACAAATCTTGGGTGTTTTGCTTCTTCAGTCCTTGTTCATAAAGAAAGCCCTCAGTCTTAACCATTTGCCCCTGAAGGTCACTGAGATAAGAACATTGGTCTTCTAACTGCCATGTCAGCCTCATCCTCGCTCTCTTTTAAATCCTGAACACCTTGGACTAACATAATTAACTATATTGATGGGTGGGTGTTGCTGCAAGCCTTGAAACAGCGAAGAAACTCCAACCCCTCTGCCTCAGGAGCAGCAATGACACTCAGTGTCAGCATCATGGCTCCTCCTGCTGCTGTACAAGCAGTCAAGAAAATCTTCAGGAAACTGGATTTTGATCCAGAATGGGAAGATAATTCCATTTTGGAAATGTATTTCATTCCCAATCACAGAATCACAGAATATCCTAAGTTAGAAGGGACCCACATGCATCATTGAGTCTCCTGGTCCTGCACAGGACCATCCCCAAGAGTCACACCTGAGAATATTATCCAAACACTGCTTCCTGAGCTCTGGCAGCCTTGGGGCTGTGCCCACTGCCCTGGGGAGCCTGTTCAGTGCCAACCACCCTCTGAGGGAAGAACCTTTTGCTGAGATTCAACCTAACCCTGCCCTGGCACAGCTCCAGGCCATTCTCTCAAGTCCTGTCACTGGTCACCACAGAGAAGACATCACTGCCTGCTCCTCTTCTTCCACTCAAGAGGAAATATTTACCCTCCCAACAGACTCATCCCAAGAGAAGTCCTTGGTGAAAAATCCATTTAGATCCAAAAGCTTCCTGCAACCACTGAAATTTCTTTTTTTTTCCCATAGAAAAACTGTCATAAAATTAAATGTTGATGGTAGCTCTGTACAAGTCAAATCCTCAAGCATCACCTGTGGTCAGCAAGAGGACTCTTCAGTGGCCTCCAGGTGAAGATTCGTAACGAGACAAGGACCAAGATGTGAGAAGAGTGCTGCTGACTTGGAGGGCTGGATTAGATCTGGGCTCTCCCTCAGCTGCAGGAGAGAGTGGCAGGGCTCTGACAACCCCACTGGGCTAAGAGCAACCCACACTGCAAGTTACCATCCGCTGCTGCCAGATTTCCACCGGCTTTTCGACATCTGCCATAGGACCTGGCAAAACACGGGAATCTTTGGGGTGTGCTACGAGCTCTGAGTCATAATTCCGTGCTGCCCCGAGGATCTTTCTGCCTTTCTTATATAATCCACTGTTTGTTTACTCTCATTGCTGTGGAGATGATGCTGCAATACGCAGGAGCACCTGCCCATGGGGAGTTCTGCCCCAGCAAGGTGAGTTCAGTGGGTTACTGCTCGGCGTGTGTTGCTCAGGTGGTTCAGACCTAGTTCAGTGGGTTATGCTGTTGCATTATTAGCAGACATTTGGCATCCTGGGCTGGCTTGGGATTCACATTGAAGTGAGACCCTATCCAATCTCCTCGGATTTTCCCACGGAAAACTTTCTAGCAAACCCTCCTAGCATCCAAGTTTCATCCTACAGCATGCAGGGAAGCTATTCCATGGTGATTCTGGTTTCCATGAGGAGCTGGGACTTGTGCTTGTGTTGACTAGAGGTGGCTACACAATGAACAGAGATGAAGAGAGGCAGAAAGTGTCGCTTGGCAGCCCATGGAAGGACTCAGATCAGGAAGGTCATGAAGAAGACTATAAACTTTAAACATAAAATCATGGAATCACAGCATATCCCCAGTTGGAAGGGACCTCCAAGAATTATCCAAGTCCAACTCCTGGTCCTCCATAGGCCAGTCCCAACAATCCCACCCTGTGCCTCAGGGTGTCATCCAAATGCTCCTTCAGCTCTGGCAGTACGAGACAGCAAAGGGGATAATCCCCCATGGTTACCTTTTGTAAATAAAGGACGGTCCCTTTAAGCACAGCATAAAATTTCTTCCAACCTCTTCTTCCTCTGGGAGCTAAAAAAGGAAGAATATTTAATTGTACATGTCTGCTCCTGCTGGTGCTGCCTGACCTTCCTGGCAAACCCAACCCCTCTCCTGACCCACCACAGGCACACAGTGGTGCCCAGACCTCATACACCTCTGAGCTTTTGCTCACGAGTGGCTTGTCTGCAGGGACATGTGTTTGAGGGACAGTAGCTGGGCTCTGCAGCCTCCCAGCAGGAACAAAGTAGGTCAAAACCACAGATGAGCTGCTCCAGGGGCACCACTGGACACCTGCAGGGAGTCTCTGCTCCTCTAAGCCCAGGTTTGGGCTCCTTGGACTAAATGCTTGTGGAGTAGAGACATCCCCTGAGACTCCCCTGCTTCTGGGCAGTTGGGCAGCTGTACCCCTGGGTAAGCAGCTTCTCTGACACTGAGGAGGGAGCATTGCCACCAGCCAGCTTGATGGACTTGGGGACAGAGAGCTTTCTGGAAGCTGGAGAGGGGTGGAAGGCGAGGGGAGCCATCCACATCACCACAAGACAGCAGATCCTCCAAGCACAGGATATTAGGAAAGTGCTGGAAGCAAGGGAGGCCTTTGGTGGTAATCTCATCTGAAGACTTTAAATTGGCTGCAGTGATTGGGCCAATCACATCAATTAGCAAAAGGGATTATCCAAGGTTTAATTAATCACAGCTCATTAACAGCTCCCAAATATCTTTTCCTTTACCTTGCCTGTAATCCCACATGCTGATAGCAGAGCTGTGGGGTGTTCTGTGCCCCAGCCAGCACATGGCAGGATATGGACAGGAGCAAAGCCTGGCAGACCAGACTGTCCCCAAGGCCAGGGCTGGGGAAGACATCCTGACCCCATTGCTCACAGAGTGGGATTGGGAATATGCCCATGAACAGGATGGAAGAGCAGATTTGTCTGTGTGGGGCAGGCTCTGTTCAGTTCCTTAGTGAGAAGACTGAGGCCTCCTGAAAACATTCATGTCTACAAATGCCTCAAAACACCCTCCTTTCCCTGCGTCCTGGCCCTTTAGGGGATCTCTCTTGTGTTCCCTGGGATGCAGTGAGGACATGCCAGGGAGAAGGGCAGGGAAAAGCTCTCCCCTTGTCCCATCAACACGTACTTCTCTTCCCATCCATGTCTGCGTGGGTTTTGCGGGTGAGGACGCCGTGCTTGTAGGTGATGGCGTTCAGCGCCTGGGGGATGTCCAGGAAGGGGTTGCTGCTGTCAACAATCCTCGTCACTTTCTTCGCACTGGCTCCGAATTTGTCATCTACCAGCTCCGAGAGGGATTTCCTCAACTCGTCCTCATCGCTTGGAAACGAAATCAGAGAAGAGACTGAGTGGGGAAGACGTGGGGTGGGTCAGGGAAAGAAAAAGAAAGGAGATGCAGGGACAATGCACACAGAGAGTGCCAGTGGTGGTGGTCTGAGCTGGGAGGAGTGTGCGTGACAAATAACTGTCCCAGAGGTCCCACTGTGAGGTTACTCAGCATGGGTGAGAGGACGGGGGCTTGTCTGAACCCCAGGAAACTGCAGACACCCTGTGCTGAGGACTACAGGCATTTCACAGGGAGAGTGATTCTATGCCCTAAAACCAGAGCTTAAGGGGAGCTTTTGCTGAAATCCAGGTATTTATCAGCATTTCTCAACTGCTGAGAGGCAGCACCTGCGGCCTCCTAGATACTGAAGGACCTTTAGGAATGTCCTCTGCAGCTCTGAAGAACAAAAGCTCAGCAGACATTAGGGTGATGAGCCACTTGACCAAAAAAAGACAAACCCTGGAACAGGTTATGCGTCAGCTCCCCATTTGTGTCCTCAGGGTGAGCTGGCAAAGAGCAAGAAATGCTGGTCATTTCCATAAAAACTGCTTCTCCTCACAGATCTCCTGGTCCTGGACCTTGAACATCAAGAGCTGAGCATCTTAGCAAAGTGTTACTGACTCCACCAAGCCTGTCTCTTCCTGTCTGGAGTAAAACCTGCTCTGGCACATAGAAACTGGAACTTGTGTGGGAAGTGATAGCTCCCAGTGTCCCTGGGACAAGGAGGAAGAGCAAACAGAGACTTTCTATCCTGTGTGACAAATGTCAGTGTCTAAATGCCTTGTGTGGTCATGTTAGGTTGAGATCAGACTGGGACCAGGACCCAAGGGAACAGCTGAGGAGTGACCCAGAGGTGAATCCACTGTCTGGGATGTGAGCAGTGGAACACCACACTGCCCCCCTGCACAAGCAGGTGGCCAAAGCATCAGACACTTTGTGGAAGAGAAGGATGATTTCTCAGCCCTCAGCACCCACGGGAGTCCTGGGGCTTAGGCAGGGCCCAGACACTACATCTGGGTGAGGAGTTAGTGGGGCTCAGTTCTTTGGGCTGCACAAGAGGGACCCCTCAGAGTCCTTTGTGCTGCTGGGCTGATGGTCACACACCTGCCCGTCTGGTGGGATTTGCGGTCAAGGGCATTTCCTTCCTGGGATGGACAAGGACAGAAGGCAGAGGCAAGCAGAGAGGAGAGGGTCCTGCCTGTGCAAGGCTGTGACTCAGTGCCAGGTGTCTGAGAGGAACCCCCTGCCAGGGAGTCTCTGACCCAGGCACCTCATGCCAGGGGAGTTTCTGCCCTAGGTATCCCATATCGGGGAGCATCTCTCAGCACTTGAGGAGCTGAGGGGTCTCTTGATCCCAGGCTGGTGTGGGGTGAGTGAGGGGTTGCAGGGATACCGTGGGGTGGGTGGAGGAGGGAAGGACGGGATTGGATGCTGCAGCGGGACGCGGGCTGTGTGTGTGTGTGGGGGGGTGACATCCCTGGGATGTGCCCGAGCAGGGAGCTGTGCTGGCGGGCGTTGTGTAACCAGAGCCCGCATCCAGCGGCAGATGGATGCACTCCTGCTGAACTCCCCTTACATAAACCATCCCGCCGGCTGCGGCTGCGGAGCTCGGAGCTCCCTCTCGCGACAGAGCCCACGCGCAGGTGCCGGGAAAGACGGGCTTTAAAGGGAAACCGGTGGTACCTGACCCGCTAAGAAACTTCTGCCTTCCCAGGGCTGGCTGCGGAAGGAGACACCAGCCACTGCCACCGGGCACGGCGGGCGATGGGGGCTCCTGCTGTGCAAAGCGTGACCCAGGTAGGTGGGGAGGGAGGGAGGACCAAAGCAGCTCCAGATGCTTTTCTGGTCAAGATTATACGAGGGAGAGAGCAGGTGATGGGGTTAAAGGCACAGAAGGTCCTGTTCGGTCCCATGACAAGAGAGGTCTGAGATTAAAGAGGAGAGGAAAAGAAAGGAGAGAGGAGGAAAGGGAAAAGGAAAGGGAATGAGAAAGAGGGAGAAGGAAAGAGGGAGAGGGGAAAGAGAAAAAGGAAAAGAGAGAAAGGGAAAGGGAACGTCCACAGTATTAGCTTAGGATCCCAGGTCTGTTATGGGCTTGCCATCAGCAGCAATGAGGAGACACTGGTGTTGGGGGCCTCGCTGAGGGTCCTGGCTGTGCTCTGGGAAGGGATGAGTGTCAGAGCAGGGGAATAAGGGCTGAGGAAGGTGCTGTGTGAACCTGGGATGGGAGGCACCATGCCGGCTGTTTTCCAGGCTTGTTTCATCTGGAGGAGAAGACAAAGTGCATCTCATTGAGTTTGTGGATGACATAAAAAGCAGAGGTACAGGGCCACTGCTGAGAGGGCTAGGAGCACCCCAGGGCTTCACCGGGGCTCCGTGTGAACAGCAGGGTGAGCAGGAGCCAGCCAGTGTGTCTTGGCAGAAACAGATGCCAAGAGCACCCTGGGCTGTGTAACAGCGGCACAGTGAGGAGGCGGAGAGAAGTGATCCCCTGCTCTGTGCTCGTTGCATCATATCGTGATACAGCAAACAGCGCCGGCCCCCAGCACAGGAAAGAACACCAACAAGGTGGAGAGAGTCCAGCTGAGGCCACCAAGGAACCCGAGGGCTGTGTAAGAGGTGACTGAGGGAACTAGACTTGCTCAGCCCGGAGAAGAGGTGGATTTGGGGGACCTCCAGGCAGCCCTCCCCGTGTGAGGGGGTTATTGAGAGGACAAAGCCAGGCTCTTCACTGTGGTGCATGGCAGAAGGACAAGAGTCAGCGGGCATAAGGCAAAACAACAGAGACAAGAAAACAATGCCACTCTCAGAATAATTAAGTATTGGTTTGTTGATCCAGGGGGGTTGTGGGTTCTCCGTCCTTGGAGGTTTTCAGGAGTAAACTGAAAAAAAGCTCTGAGTGTCCTGGTCTGAATTCAGAGTTGACCATACTTTGAGGAGGGAGTTGGGTTGGTAATATCACAAGGTCCCTTCTCTCCTGAGTGATTCTCTATTTCCAGAAAAAAACCCAAACCGATGAGGAAGAGGTGGAAAGTCTCAGTGACCAAAGGAACCTTTTCCTTGTGCAAAGACTCCTGAAGCACCTGGAGAGGGACCAGCATTTTACTTGTGTAATGGTAAACAAAGAGGGCGTTCCCTTCCTTTAGATCGTGGATCTACAGACTGTCACCAACCTCCCCAACTTCTTTTGTGTTGAAGCCGTAAATAAACTCCATTTGTCTACAGAGGGCAATTCAGTGATTAAGGGGTTGGCAGGAAATATTATGGGACTGAAAACATGACTTAGGACCTGCCAGCCACTTGGAAAGAGACACACTATCTCTCAAATGCTTAGCATATACTTACATGGCCCACTCCAGCTTCTCATTCTTGATGGAGTTATATAGTGTCTGAAACAAGAACATGGAATTAGCTGTGTCTCTTGTGGAAGTCATGTCTGGCTGTGAGATCATCTCCTCCTCCACACTCTGCCTGTGTGCCTGGAGAGATCCCTTCCTTGCTGAAGTGTCCTGGAGAGGCATTCACCAATTACCAGGGCAACTGCTGTCCTGCTAGACCCCTTTTTGTCTGTGTGACACACACTGGGTATTGGACTGGGCACATCAGAAGCAGGGGGGTCTGGCAGCCACCTTGCTCAAGAGCTTGCATATGAGATTTTTTACTCATTCTGGGCTGCTGCACCTAGTTCTGAGTGACTCCTGGCCTACACAAGATGGTAGAAGACTCAGGGATATGCCACAACACCTTTGATTTCTTCACTAGGGGAAAGGAAAGGGGAGGCTTGAACTGAGTATCAGAGGAGGGATGAGTGACCTTGGGATCAGCTTTTCCAGCTCTTCCTGTGCTGGAATGGGCTAGGAAAGCAGAATGTGGAGGTGGCCCTGACCACATGGAGGGGTGGGATAGGGTGAAAATACTCACTTTTGGGGTGTTTAACCAATATCCCATGGTACTGCACTAGCTGTGTTGGAACACTGCATCTGATTACATGGAAGTGAAGTATCAGTGCTGGATGGTCATATTTGGGGTTGGGGGGCACCTTGTTCTGTGTGCATCACAGAGCTGCTGGATGGAAAAGGGCCCCTGGCATGCTCTAAGGGCAGATATGCCACAAATCTGGACGAAACACCACCGGGGAGCAGACCTCTTAGCAGAGACATCCATGGGGGTTATAATTCTTCTCCTGAAAAAACTGTGCACTGGAAAATGCTGACTGAAGGGCTCAGGGTGTCCCAGCAGGACTGGGTGGCACTGCAATAATAACGACAGCATCCCACTGTCTATTTATACCACGTTACCTTCAGCAAATCCTTTGCGAAGTCCTTCCCGTCGTTCAGCCCGTCCAGGTTCGCTATGAACTGTTGGCATGACATCTTCTTGCCAATGTTCTGTAAGGCAAAGAAGCAGCTCATTAATCTTGTGGAGAGTTTTGACTTTAATCAGTGCCTTTCAAAGAACAGTTTTAACATGTGGTGCTGAAAGCCTGGGTTTGTCCCAAGAGCTCAGAGCTGAAAGGGCTTCTGATCTGATTTTCTATTGGGCTCTTTGCTTTATTTGCTCATGCCAGCAGCCAAATGTTTCAAATAACCTCTTTTTTTTTTAATGGTGGGGATGAGACACCTGAAAATAGCCTCTCCAGCTCTTGCTCCAGGCTTCTTAAGTGATCCAGGCTGGTCCTGGCACAAGGGCTGTGTCTCAAAACTGAAAGCAACCACTCTGTTGCAATGGCAACGCTTGGATGGGGCTCCAAGGCTGCTGTGTGTGAAATTGTGTGAGCATGCCGTGCCAGCACCTGAGACAGCCAGCACCGGGCAAGGGAATGCTGGTCCTTCATGGAGAATGTTATTTTCCATTGCTGGTACAAAAAGAGATGGTCCAGATGGTACTGCATGAACTTGAGTGCAGCGGTGTGAGAGGACAACGCACATACACGGGGAGAATCTCACAACCTAGAACACACTCACCACCAGCTAATGCCAAGGGTATTTGGTGCTGAAGCTTCCAGGCCATCATGGTTTCATCACCTGTGGCACCTGCCTTCCCAAGGAGCCCTTTACCCTTCACCATAGCCAGGTGAGTCCCTTCTCAGCCTTTTCCCAAGCCTCCCTCTGCAATCCCACCTCTCCAAAGGGCTGGAGCGGAGGGGTGGAGGAGTCAGTGCAAATTGCAGGCTTTGAAAGAAAGGAGTCTGATGGAACACAAAGGAAAGGTGGATGTCTGCAGTGCCATGTCATGTCACACCCTGCAGCGTGTGAAGGACAGACCCTGGGTGTCACTGCATGGAGCGGACGGTGGAGTTAGTGAGGAGAATGTGAGTTCACACCAGAGGTCCTAAGGATCCCAACAGCATCCTGACACTGGGTATGGTTCCCATCCAGGTATGGACAGGGTGGCCATCCAGAAGGACCTGGGAAGATGGCCAAGAACAGCAGCCAGAGCCCTGTTTAGGGGCTCAGTGAGGGAGAGGAAGGGCCTCACTGGGTCACTGGCAGGGGATGAAGCTGTAGCAGATGATACAGGAGGTGCCCTGCAGGGCAAGACACTCTGTGGGGTGTCTTCTTACGCAGCAGGTCACCTGCTGGATTCAGCAAGGTCATCCCATGGGCACATAATGCTCAGGGGAATGTGTCTGCACACCTCAAAACTCAGGGCTCAGATGTTCTACACCTCTTGCTGAACTGGGACCTTTCTGTAGGAAGAATTTCCTTCCTGTCCAGCTGCACCGATAGGGACATTTTGCTTTTCTTTGTTTGCCTTGACAGAGACTGACACCACAAACCTGCCCACAAACGGGCACTGCAGATGACCTGGAGGCTCCTCCCCAAAAGAAAACGTCAGGAAAGAGTGAGGCCTCGGGATTAGCTCCCCATGGCCCCCCTCCACCTGTCATCTGTGTGTGCAAACACTCTTGGGCTACACGGGGAGCCAAGTGCTGCCTTTGAGCAGCTCTGTCTGATACTCTTAATTATGCCTCCTGCTGGTGCCAGCTCCAGATGAGCTGGCACCCTTGAGAGATCAAGAAAAAGAAGAAGAAAGCACTGTTACAAATCTGCAGTGCCTGGGGACGTGGTTGGCACAACAGAGCTCAGCCATCACGGGGAGCCCCACGGCCCCCATTAGCCAGAGGCTGCTGCCAGCCAGGGCTCAGAGGGCACATGGGCTGCAGGGGAGCTCAGGAAGCCTTGCAGACGTGCTGAGAGCCCAGCAGAGGGAAGAGAGATTTGTGTGCTCGCTGGCCATGAATTTCAGACACGAAAAAGAAAGGAGAAATCCAGCTTGTGTGGATGGAGAGAGGAAAGAGGGCGAAAGAGAACATTAAAAACGCAGCAAGGAACCTTCACGAGGAGGGAAGTTTGTAGGGGGAGGCAGGTGTGCTGTCTGAGACCTTGAGGCACCAAATTTAGAGAGAGAAGGTGACTACTCCCACCCCTGCCCTGAGGCAGGGAAGCAGATGCACAGCACTGGTCTTTCTGCCCAAAGAGATCTTGCTGTGGCGATACAGCACTGAATGCAGAGGCCAGCACATTTTTGGAAGTGAGTGGATACAGTGAGATAACACAAGTTACCAGCCTCACAGGTCCTGTTTTGCATTTCTCACTTATGTGTCTGGGACATACCTTCATCCCAAGGGATGGCTTCCTTTTAATTCTGTGATTTGTCTCTTTCTCTGGTGCAAGACCATCTCTGAGCTCACCTGAGACAGCAGCCACACTGTGGAAACTCAGCTAATTGAAAATATGCCCTTTCCTTGACAACCAGAACAATTGATGAGAAAGGTCCAGCAAGGATGGGAATACTGGGAATCACCTTGGTGGGTAAGGTGGTCGAAGCACTGCATATTCAGGGGCAGGACTGATGCTGGCTGTCAGCACAGGATGCTGGGGTGGCCCTGATGCAATAAAACCTCATGTCAGCAATATTTAAACACTTCCCAACACTTGCTGCTTTGAGAAGTGGGCTGTAGTCAGCCACTCAAACACAAAACCCTGCAAGTGCCTCCACATCAACACCAGCTGAGCAGAGAGAACAAAAAAAATCACCCCAGGACAAAGACTTTGCAGCTTCTGTTGATCAACACTTGCAAGGAAACGATTCTGTGATCGCAAGTGCCTCATTATCCACAGCATCAGCACCGGGGACTGCCCGAGCTTTCAAACACTGCAAAAGCATTTAGCAAGTGTGGGGGATCCCAGGAAAACCCCGGAAAGGGCCACTCTGAGGTTACAGGGGGGTGTCTTCTTACACAGCATGTTCAGATGCAGCAAGGTCATCACAAGGGGATGGAGTCCCCAGGGGAATGTGTCTGCACACCTCAAAACTCAGATGTTCTACATCTGTTGCTGAACTGGGACCTCTGAGTAGGTAGAGCTTCATTCCTGTCCAGCCTGACATGGATGGGGGCGTTTGGCTTTTATTTAATGGTACATCAGTCACTTACCAGCAACAGAACAAGCCAGAGAGGCTGTTTCACAGCCACAGGTAGCTACTATTCCTGATATGTCCCCCGGGCAGGAAAGAACTTTGTCCCACCTTTGCTTGCTCCAGGCCATGCAGCAAAGCATGAGAAACCAGTCAGAGCATGAGAGAGCACCATGTTGTGCTGGATGGGGAGCCTGTCAGCCAGCAGTGGATTAAACAGTGGATTAAATAGCTGAGAAGGGCTGGATACTTGGATGAATGGGTGGAGACAGTTTGGGAATGGATGGGCAGAGGTGGATGGGTACAGACACTGTATGGGAATGCAGGGATGCAGAGACAAGGTGCATGACAGTCATAGAATATCCTGAGCTGGAAGGGACCCACAAGGATCACTGAATTCTGACCCCTGGCCCTGCACGGGACAGCCCCAAGGATGAGATTGATCTGGTGGCAGATAGCCAGGGCTAATTCTGCCATCCCATCATTTCAATCCAGTGTAACTCCCCTGTTTACACTTGGGTTCTTGCCCCCTCCTGGCCTCAGCCGTCTGCTGCTGACCTGGCTCATCCAAGATGATCACAGACCATCTCCTGAAGTGTCCAGGATGGCTCCATCCCCCTCCAGAAGACTCTGACCTGTAGCCAGGCATTCCTTGCTGCCAAATCTCAGCACTAGGAGTCTGTGCAGGTGAGTATGGAGCTGGGTGCTCCGTGAGAAGAGCAGGTGCCATGAGAAAGCCCCAGGAGGAGAAGCAGTTTCCTGGGACATAGAAGGTGTGAAGGGTGGCTGCTGGAGTGCTCTCCCAGCATTCCCTTTGGGAGGTGTTAAACCACTTGAGCTTCTGGGCTGGAGGCCCCAGCAATCAAACCTCTCAGCTCAAAGTGGTGAGTGCAGCACATCTCCAGAGCTCCCCAGCATGAGCATCATGCCCTTAGCAGGTCGTGCTTCCACTCAGGCCCTTTGACCTCTCCCAAATACTCTTCTTCAGGGGAAAATACCCAGGCAATTCCATTTCTGATCCAGCAGGAAGTGAGGGATCACTGTTCTGATGGGACCAAGGTAGTGGAGGTGTTCTGGGCTGCAGGAACAAAATCACCTCACTGAAGGGGACCAGCCTGTACTAACGAGCCCTGGGCCACACAAACCTGCTGTGGGCAGACTGGGGGCATGCTGCAGGTGATGCCAGTGGCTGCTCATACCTCAGAGCTCTTCAACTCTCCTAGCGCCACTAACACAGCAGAAATGCCAACACCAACCCATGAGCTTGGCCTAAGGAGGGGATCACAGGGTTTGTAAGATTGATGATGGACATACGGAGTCAGGAGCTGCCCAGGATCCCATGTTGATTTGTCACTGTCCTTTAATGGCCAGGGAGGAAAACACTGACAGTGGAGAAGGAGACACCCCAAAGCTGTGCCTCCACAGGGCAGAGATGGGGCAGGGCAGTTCTAACTTTGCCATCACATCTCCTGGAGCTCAAACAGCACCAGCAGAGCAAGGCAGAGGGTTGCAACAAGGTGGCTTATACTACAAGGCTTGGAATGTTTAGTGACTGCTGGCTTCCCACACCAACTCCAGGTGCTTCCAGGAATGGGGAATGTCTCAGTTTAAAGACAGCAAGTTTTCTGGGCAGTTTGGAAACAGGGTCTGAGTGCACCTGTGGCAGGTGCAAACCTCCTGTTTTAAAGCCAGTCTCGTTCCCTTCAGGCCGGACTCGGGGTATGTGTCAAGGTCACTGCTGGAATGCTGAACTAGAGCATTCCAGGGACATTGCTGTGGGGAACTGCCCCTTTACAGACACACATCAACCCCCCCCTTTCCTCCCCAGAGGAACTTCCCACTCTGGGAATGCACCGGAAAACACTGCAACACACACACACACAAGGTTGAAAAAAAGGAAACAAAATTAAAGGTGATATGGAATATCATGGCAGCGTCTCTAACAGGAAGGGCCGGCAGATCAAGTCACACATTCCCAGGTACACAGCAGCTCATGGAGGTTGCTTTACTCCGGGAGCATTTCATGGGATGCATATCAGCTGCTAATGGCTTGCTAAGGGAAGAACATTGCACAATCACTTAGGAATCCACACAAACAAAAACCCTTACTGTTTTTAACACAGAAAAAGAAAAAAAAAAAAACCACAAGTCAAATGCCAGTGCTTCAAAGCAAAACACTAGAATGACTGCACTTACCACCTGGTAAAGGGTTAAAGAGCAGAAAGAGAGGTTCCAGGAGCAGAAGGAAATTTTAAAAAAAAATTAAAAAAAAAAAAAAAAAAGAGGAAAAGGAGAAGAAGAAATTAATGTTACACATGCAGAAAAATAAAGAGAAGATTTTTTCAAAGAAAAGCTCAGGTATTTCCACAGCTGGTCAACAGGAAGTTATTTTTTCTTTGCCTAGGTATCATGAGAACATTTCTTCTTACCAGGCCTCTTAGGCAGCTTGTCAATGAAAAATAGAAATGGCAAGGTTTTGGAGGTTTAGGTAGGTTTTTTTTCAATAATGTCTGTCTTCCCAGAGGCATATCTTGGATTTGTTTTTTCCTTAAAAAAATCTAGACTAAATAAGATTATTTTGGACTGAAGTCACACAGTTTGCCTTCTGCCACAATGGAAATTCTTTGTTGGAAATACTTCCTTGGCTCTAACTTTGGCTGAAGGATGAATGCAGATATGGGTTACTGGGAGCCATGTGGGTGGGAATGGACCCAGTGGCCAGGATGACACTGGTCATAGCTCCCTGTTTCCAGAGGGTGAGGCCATGGCAGCTGCAGTCTGGCAGCTTGTTGCAGGCCACATCTGGAAAGGATGTCAGAGTGCACATCTGGAGCCAGGATCCCCCTGCAAAAATCAGCAACTCCCTTCACTGGCTGCTGTGTTTGACACTTTGCCACTGCCACGAGGACAATATCTGTGTTGCAATTATGGGAAGGGTCTCCCGGGTGGACCCTCAGGATGGCCCTGATGGAGTTAGTGGCCTTTGCACCTTTGTCTCTCACTACAGGCTAATGAAAGAAAATCAGGGCAAGCCTGTGCAGATGGACAGCAAAGGGTTACCAGCTGGAGGCAGAAGAGGAGCCTGACGATGACCTTGAAAATCCTGGGTTTGTGGGGCAGAAAAGGGGTGTGCAGGTTCCACACGCTCAGGCTGCTGTAACAAACTCCTCCCCTGCTCCCTTCCGTGTCCCCTCCACCTTGGGGACTCTGCAGCTCCAGGTCTGAGCTCTCAGAGGAGCAATGAAAGAAGGTTCTTAACCTGAGAGTTGAGGAGCCCCTCTACCCCTGGAAAGGGAGTACAGCCCTTCCACCTCAGCTCTGAGCAGGGCTCAGGGTCCACTCCCAGAGCAGTGGCTGGGAGTGGGTCTCCAAAGGTGCACAGTGTCCCAGTGCAGTCCCCTTGGACAGGTCTAATCTTCTTTCCTGCAGCTATTTTTCCTCCCACTCTCCTCTGCTCTACACATTCTGGTTGACCTTTTGAGAACGAATCCAACCTGCTCCACCAGAAGAAGCCTCTAAAAGGTGGTGAGAGATCTCACAGCTTCTGCTCTTCTCCAGCCACTCTTTTGGGCACTGAGCTCTGCTCACACTGCTCTTTGTCTGGAGGCCCCTCTAGTATGAAATTCTCCTGTTACATCTTGGGGAAAAGGACCAGTTGGGACCTATTTCATGTTTTGGGAAGGAAAGATGAAGTCTAGACCTGTGTGAAACAACTGACCCCCTTGCAGCAGTTTCTGGGACAAGGAGAGCCTCAGGTGTGTGCAGCACGAGAAGCTGCGGCACAACTGGTGCTGCTGTTCCCAGACCAACAGAGAGTGGTGGGGAAGACCCCAGTGAGAGCTCCTGGGGCAGGGCTGACGTGTGCAACAGGTCCTGGGGAGAAAGTTGCACTGCCTGTCCCTCTCTAGGATAACTGCTGTCAGCAGGAGATAGGCCTTTGGCTTGAGTGTGGAGTGACATTTGGGTGTGGACTGTGCCCAGGTCCGGGCCTGGCACCCAAAATCACCCCTGGAGCAGGTCAAGGACTCTCTGCCAACCTATCTCAATTTTCCAGCAACACACTGAGCATGAGGGAAGAGAGCCCTGCACTGGGAACGGATAAGGGATGGATACATCTGCAAGGACTACTTACATGGCCATGCAGGTCTGTGTTTAGCAGCATCAGGGCACAGGTGAGGGTGTGAATCCCATCTGAAACACACAACAGTCGCACAGCTATTGCTGATTACTCCCCTTCCCATGCAGTTTTGGTGTTTGCTGTCTTGGCAGCCCACCTCTTGCAGAACCAAGGCCAGTTGCTACAGCTGGGGACCTTAAAGAATATCTGTTTCATTCAGCTGTGTCAGAGAGTTTAAAAAAATACAAAGTCACCCTCTCCTCCCTCAAACTCTCCCTTTTCCTGAAGCAATCACAAGGGAACTGTCTTTAAAGCAGTTTTGCCAATAGCTTTCTAAAGACCAGACTTTCTAGTAAGTCTTACTCCATTTCCATGAACTAGATCATCTTTAAGGTCCTTTCAAACCCTTCTATGATTCCATGATTTCCATTTTGTCCTGATGTCACTGCAGATGGGGCAGAGACCCTGGCAAACAGAGCTGGTTTGCCCCAGTTGATCATGGTGGCCTCAGGGGTTTGTCCTGAGGTCTTTGGCCATCAGGCCCCGGCAGTCTCTAAGCTCTTGGGGCTGTATGGAACAGTGACAAGTCCTGAGCACTCCATTGCTCAAGGCCAAGCTCTTTTTAAGTCTCTGTGGGAGGTTCTGGGCCGACTTTAGGCATTGCTATATAACTTTGGTCAGGTAAATCATGTCCCACATGGCCCCAAGGTGGAGCTGGTGTCCCAAAACCTGCCATTGTCTCGCTGTTCCTTGGCTCAGTTGCACTCACTTTCCCTCTCAGCTCACACAGCTGAGAGCCACAACACAACCATGTAGTTCTTCCATGTCTGGGCTTCATCAGTACAGGAAAGGAATAACAAGACACCACTCTCTGGGAGAAAAACCAGGGTCGGCCCCTCCTCCCAGGCAACAAGCAAGAGGACAAGAGGAAACGACCTCAAGCTGTGCCAGGAGAGGTCCAGGCTGGACATCAGGAAGAATTTCTTCACTGAAGGAGTGGTTAAACATTGGAAGGGACTGCCCAGGGAAGTGGTGGAGTCCCCATCCCTGGAGGTGTTCAGGAAATGATTGGATGTGGCATTTAGGTCCCACGGCCCTCAACTGTAGGGTTGGGAGGTGGATGAAACAGAACCAGGGATCACTTCCAGGGGGAAGTGTTGGAGAGGAGTCAGAACTTGGCATGTGGGATGTTTCAGCTGGGGACTGCTGCTGAAAATGCAACCTGCAGTTTAATGTCACCTGAAGTTTAATGTCTCCAGGTGAAGGACCCTTCCCAGGGAAGTTCATCTTTGTGGGGAGAACATCACACAAATGCAGGGAAATGAAACCCAAAGCTGTGTTTTGTTGGGATAGCACTGACAAAAGCAAAAAGGTCATTCTATTTTGAGAACAGTGAGAGTCCAGTTAGTTAGCTTAGCAGAGGGACTGGAGGGTTCCTGTGGCACGAGGTACTGCTGCCCTTTGGGAAGCCTGCGAGGTGGAGACAAGCAGGAGGTCTGAGCACATCTGGGGTACTGCATGGGGAGGGGATGGAGGGAGGATAACTGGCAGCTGAGAGCAGGGCAGCAGCTTGATTCCACCCAGGGAGGGGGGCCATTTCCAGATGCCTCTTAGCAGGTGTGTAGAGGCACTTATGTAAGTGCAGACGTGGGCACGCTCATGTCTGGGTGTGTGTCTGTGTGTGCACCAGGAATGACCTTTCCCACAGAATCATGGAACCAAAAGACCTCTAAGATCATCAGGTCCAACTGCTGACCCACCACTGCGTTCATCACTAAACCATATCTCCACGTGCCACATCTTCTGAACACTTCCAGGGATGGTGAAAGTGTAGAATCGTTGAGGTTGGAAAAGACCTTTAAGGTCATCAAGTCCAACCGTTAACCTAAAAATGTCAGAAGAAACTGTATCCACTTAAAAAATAATGTGGAGAGGCTGAAAGTAGCTCAGAAAATCTGCAGCTGCAGCGAGCCCAGAATTTTACCCATCTGTGCTATTCTTGTGCTACAGCTGGGCATGTGGGGAACACAAATCCTGTGTGGGGCAGGCCAACAGCTTTCCTCAATCTGCATGGAAAGGTCTTCCACTCAGGGTCAGCACCCAGTATCCCCAGTCCCTCCCAGGGCAGGGGTAACAGCCAGGGCAGGATCCCAGGGACAGGGATCTGTACCTTCAGACGTGCTCTCCTCGGGGTTGCACTGGCAGTACCGCCGGGAGAAATGGATCAGCACCCGCTCCCGCTCCTGCGTCTCTCCCATCAGCGGGAACGCCTTCAAGAACGTCCTGCAGGAAGAAAGGGATGCTTAGAGACCTCGCTGAGCTGTGCAGGGAAGCGCTGCCAGCTGAGGTCTGACCTGCCCCTGGCTCGATGGCACCAGGATGGGTTGCCCATCCCAAGGGAAGAGGCTGCTCCCACTTGCTCTGATTTTGTATGGGATGGGATTCCTGGGAAAGCTGCTCTCCACCACGGGGGAGCAGGTCGGGGACCCTCCCCTTGAAGTGCACTGTTGGCAGCAGCATCTTGTGCCAAAGATGACACCAAACCAAATGACAGCCTGGAGCTCCCCCCAGTGCCTGCCCCTATCACATGGGAAGCCCCCACGGTGCTGGGAAGCCGGGAGGAATCCCCACTGCCCTACTCCATCCACCCCAGAGCCCAGCTCACCTGAGTGCTTTGTCAAGGGTCAGGCCGGTGAAGTCAAAGAAGCTGAGATACTCCTCTGCTACCAACTTGCTAAATTCATTGCTGTAATTAAAGAGGGAGTAGTCAGCCCTTTCATCAGCAAAGAAGACACTGTCCACAAGAGGAGCAGCAGACCTCTGCCTCCTGACCAGCCCAATCCCAGCAAGACACTGCAGACATGAACCCAGACCCAGGGGGACTTTCTCTGGGCTTAAAAAGGACAGTAACATGCCTGCAGGCAGCCCCAGACACCTGAGAACGAGAGGCACCTCCCCTGCTGCACCCCTCTGGTGGTGCTGCTGGCCAGGCAGAGCCTCCTTCCAAACCCTCCATGAGGAGGAGGCCATAAGGATGTCCTGTGCTCATCCAACACCTACTTCTCTCCCACTGCTGGATGTGTCCCCTCCTCCCACTGCAACATTCCTGCTCTCCACTCCACGTAGGCTCCCATCCCACCCTCTCACCACAGCACCTTGCTCCCATGGCAGGTGGATGCTGCTGGAAGCTGAAGCAGGAGCGCTCAGCCAAGTTTTGGCCCAGCTCATCCCTGAATGCTCCTCCAGAAACCACTCCCCTGCCACATTTTTGAAGGATGCTTGGAGATGTGTTGTCTTTAGAGCCAGAATGGGGCCTATTAAACTCCTCTATCTGCACAGCTCAGTGGAAGTGCAAGAGCAATCAATGATAGCGGGCAAGAAATCGGACATGATCTCAATATGCTCAGCCTTCACCATACACAATTCCTTTTCCTTCTCCTCACAAAATGCAAAGTGCTTTGCTGAGGATTCCACATCCAAGTTCATGCCAAGATGTGTTAGAGCAGAATTCATTGCTTTTCCTACGGCATTATCTCATCTCTGCTGTGAGGTGGATGATGCAAAGCCTCTGGCGTGGATGCACAGCACACAGCAGGGTCGGGCAGAGCAGCAGGACAGCTCCAGGGGAGAGTCCCAGGCTGAGATTTGAGAGGCAGGAGATAAATATTGATGCTGGGGGTTGTGCAGGAGAGTGTTTCGAAGCTGTACAGAGCCACAAGGCCTCACACTCATAAAACAACCCTGTCATTTTGGGATTGCTAGCTGTGGGAAGGACCTCACGGACCCACGGCCAAAGCATTCACCTGAAGCAGTGTCACAGCCCCTGGTGTGCAGATTCCTGCCAGCTTCCCAGGGAGACATCTCCACTTGTCCTGGAACTTCATAGCAGAAGGTTACCACGTGTTTGTGAAAGGAGATGTCACCCCTGCAGCAAAGGGTGAGCAAGATCCAGACCTCCCCTGGTATCCTCTGAGCTCTGAGCCTGCAGAAGACCTAATGCATTGGCTGTGCTTGTGCTGGGAACCAGCCAGTGCTCTCCCTGCCCCCAGTCAGCCCCTCACAGGGGCTGTTTCAGTCTCTTAGGAGTAAAGGACTTTCCCCTTCTACTCTGCCCTTGTGAGAGCACAGCTGGAGTGTTGTGTCCATGTCTGGGGTCCTCAGCACAAGAAAGATGTGGATCTGCTGGAGCAGGTCCAGAGGAGACCACAAAGGTGCCCTGAGGGCTGGAGCCCCTCTGCCACAGAGCCAGGCTGGGAATGCTGGGGGTGTTCAGTTTGGGGAAGAAAAGGCTCCAGTGAGATCTGAGAGTCACTTCCTGGTCCTAAAGGGGCTCCAGGAGAGTTGGAGAGGGACTGGGGACAAGGACATGGAGTGACAGGACAAGGGGGAATGGCTCCACACTGCCAGAGGGTGGATTTAGATTAGATATTGGGAAGAAATTCTTCCCTATGAGGGTGGTGAGGCTCTGGCACAGATTTCCCAGATAAGCTGTGGCTGCCCCATCCCTGGAAGTGTCCAAGGCCAGGTTGGAGGGGGTTTGGAGCAACCTGAGATAGTGGAAGGTGTCCCTGCCCATGGCAGTGGGTTGGAACTGGATGAGCTTTAAGGTCCCTTGTAACCCAAGCCTCTCTATGATTCTTTCCATGATTCTCTGAGTCCTTCTGTTTGGACATCCATTTACCAGGTGTCCTGGGAAGCTGCTTGGGCACCCTGGGCACAGACCAACAGCTGCCACGTGCTGCAGCACTGCAGCCACCAGCAGGGGAGAGCAGTGTCTGATTCCCACACTTACTCTCAAGCTCAGCTTGAAAGAATGGCCTTGCCTAAGGCTCCCTAAAGCAACAAGACTTGGCATGTCTATACCCAGCACAGATTTTGGGTGGGTTGAACTGCTTTTGAGATGTTTCCATGGCCTACACACGGAGCTACACCTTCATTTACATTTCTAACTAGACCAGGCAGGATGAAGGTGGGTGGGAGCTCCCCTTCTCCCCACGCTCCCACCGAGGCAGCCCAGGCTCAGCTCAGTCAGTGGGTCTTGCTGAAGGCCAGGACTGCACAGGGAATTTGTGAATCCCAGGACAAGGGGTCTGGGCCAGCTGCTGTGGTGCCAGCAGTCCCCAGCCTGGGTGCCCATCACACCTTCCTGTGTGCCCACCTTAGTCCCTCTCTGCTTGGAGAAGCTCCAGGCTGGGGCTGCTGGCTCTGCTGAGGGAACCAGACAGCATCACAGGTCACCTGAAGGCAGCCAGCCCCCAGGAAGCCACAAACTCCTGTGTCTAGCCAGGGGGTCAGGGACATTGTTGGGAATCCTCTCCCTGAGCTCCAGAGCCACTTAACATCCCAGGCCATGGGATGTTAACTCAGCAGCGGCCAGGGCAAGACATGGCCCACACTAAGCTGGGCTGAGGCGTTTGCTCTGGTCTCCTTATTCAGGATTTTTTCTCCTCCTCTCTCTCTGTGCCAGTCCCAGCCCTCCCTGCAGGAATGGGTGACAGTTCCACCGTGCAGCTCAGACACCACAGAGACATTCCCACAAGAACAAGAAGGCATTTCCCATGGGGACATTCTTGCCATCCTTTGGATGGTGGCCTTTCAAGGCATTTCCCATGGGGACATTCCTGCCATCCTCTGGCTGGTGGCCCTGCAAGGCATTTCCCATGGGAACATGCCTGGCATCCTCTGGATGGTGGCACTGCCACACAGACCTCCATCAAACTGAGGTGAAAGGGAAGATGAGCTCTGTAGACCTTTATCAGGCCTTTTCTGCTTGTTTGACAACGATCAATGTTTTTGCCTTTGTTTTGTTTTGTTGTTTTCTTTTTTTTGTTTTGTCGTTTTTGAGAAAATTGTCAATGATCACAAAGTAAAAAAGGGCATAAAACAAGCTAAATAGCTTTAAAATGAGATTTCACTTTTTGCACAGCCCTCCTAAACTGTGCTGACCTCAAAGCATCACTTAAATTTACCCTGCTCCCACCGCTACAGGTTTGTCTTAACATTGTCTTACGTGAGAAAGACCAACTTAACACACACCTATCTTCATCCTTCTCCCTTTCCTGCTCCAGAACCAGAGCCCACAGCTCTGTTCAGGTCTTAACGCCAGGAAATGGTTCAGATGTCAAAACCCAGCTGATCAAAGCGAAACTTTAATTTCAAAGGCTGTGTGAATTCCCAAATGTGGGTCACCCAGCACCCTCCCCAGGTGTGAGGGTTGCAGAGGTGAGTGAGGACGGCAGGAACAAGCAAAGGAATAGACTCAGAGACCCACTGCTTGGAAATTCCCTCCCCTTCAATGAGCTGTCATGGCAAATTTGAAAGAAAGGAGAAGGATGTTAGACCTGAGGCAGCAGCAACCAGCAATGCACCTGCTGCAAGAACCACAGCAAAAGGGAAGGATGGGGATGCTGCCAGGTGATACAAAGAGCCTCTCCAGGAGACCATTCCTGGGCTCCTTCTGTCCCAGGACTTAGCTGGGAGTCACAGGCCATCCTGGGTACTGAAAGGTTGGGTATTCACTGAGGTACAAGGTGTGTTCTGCTGATCTGGGCAGGAGGGAGACATTTCAAGGACAAAAAGAAAAAATCCCAGCAACATGGGTTATATCTGATCCAGGCAAAGGATGATGGGGATTGGTGCCTTCACACCCACTGGCATCCTAAAATAATCTGTTACTGCCACACTCATTACTGTTACTCTGTCTCTTAGAAATCTCTGCAACTCTCCCACTTTTGAATATTTGAATAAACACTTTTTATTTCCCTTCTGCTCTACTCAGGCAAATCCACCAGCTGAAGTGCTTGGACCTCTGGGTGTTGCTCTCCAGCAAACCCTTTCTGCCATCTTACAGACTGGGTTGGGAGGCCATGCAGCAGGAAGATTTTGGGGTGCAGACATGAAAAACCTGGGGACTGGCAGGGATCCCAGTGACAATCCAGATAAGGATCCTAAAACCTTCATCCTGGGGATTGCTGTAGTCTTGCTGGGCCCTTACCAGAGGCAGGAAGCTCTGATGGGCAGCAGCTTGTGGCACCTAATGCCCAACATCTCAGGCAGCTTGTAGGATTCCTATTTTAAGGGCATTGGGCCAGTTTCAACTGGAAGGACCTCCAACAGCCCCATAAAGCAGCCAGGTTTGCCCCTCCCTGCTTGTGTCCAGCGCTCCCCAGACCCTCCCCAGCACTGTGCCCCAGGTTTCCCCCTCTGCCACCCTCTCCCACCCTGGTCCTGCTCACTTTTTCCCGAGCTGCCGTGCCACGTCGCAGCGCTTGAAGCCCTCGAGGTTGTAGAGGCGCTTGGCCAACCTCTTGGCAGCCTCGCTGTCCGCCCTGCAGCCGTTGGCCAAGGTGTCCGTGCTGCCCTGGTCCAGCTGCTCCGTGCTGCCCATGTCGGAGTCGGAGTCCGACAGGGTGTCCTTCAGGCTGGCGTCGCTGCACGGGAACAGGAGACGCTCAAGGGGCAGCCACGTGACCCCGTGAAACCCACCCCAAAAACGCCTCATTTTGATTTCTTCTCGCCCCCACGAAAAAAATATGAAAACCCCCACGTGTTTATGAGGTGGACTGTAAGGGTGGAAGATCCTTCTGGAAGGTTTATTACGAGGAGATCAGGGCTTATTTCGCTTAGGAAAACTTTCCTGCCTGGAAGAGGCATCTTTCCCAGAGACAGATTGAGATGTTCTCCTCTCCTTCATTCTAGAGAAACTCTCCCTAGTATGAGAAAAAGATAAGTACTTGCAGACATGTGTAAGGGCCCTCACCTTGGGGGGATCCAGGGATGATTAAAGCTCTGAGAAGAGCAGGAGGTTTGTCTTTCCCCAGGCCTGGTGTTTGAAACACTGTTGAGGTTGATGTTTTTAAAGTTCTTCACTTTGGAAATAAATTTTCCTACAATCCTTCCACTGCCTGGCATTTTGGGGGTACCTGTGTATTATCTTTCTTCACAGGATACTGGACAAGTCAAATGAAATTGAATTTAATTTCAAATAAAGGCTGCAGAGAGAGTCACTTCTCCCTGAGTAATGAGGATGTATCAGAATAAGCAGCCCCAACACCTTTTGAAGCTTCCTCTCTCTCCCCTGGTTTGGGAAGGGATACCAAACTGTGGACATTGAGGTAATTTTAGGGATAGATAATATGCTTTTCAGTTCAGGTTATTTGCTGAGGAGAAGGAGGAACCTGCACTTGTACAAATGGTGTCAAGGAGGCTGGCACCAAACCTGCTGCTACAGGTGGGCTGCTCCTCTCCCAGCTGCCTGCTGGCCTCGTGGCCAACTGTTGCCATGGACAACACTCTGAGCAGCCCTGCTGGCACCATGGAGGTGGGGATACAGCCCTTTATTTTCCTGTCCAGGGCCAGTTATAGCACCTACTGATTTGTTTTTGATCAGTGTGACTCACTGAAGGCCTGGGAGCTGGACACAGAACCTTGCTCCAGGTCTCCCATGTTGCTCTGCCTCATGCAGGGAAGTGCCCTACAGATGAGCTGCTGCCTCCCAGGGATGATGGACTGGGTGTGAGCTGGTGCAGAGGATGAAGTCTCTGCTGATCTCCTCACTGCTTGCAGAAGAACCTTTAGGGAGGCTTTTACAGGGGTACCCAGTTCCAAAGGAAGCCCTGAGGCTTCCCTGCACTTTAGAGCACATTTGGGAGTGCACCTGACTGCCCCCAACCTGCCAAGGTGTCAGGGGGCTGTCAGGGGGCTGCCCAGAGAAGCCTCAGCTTCCCCTGCTGTAAGGACAGACGGGGTTTGTGAGCAGCCAGAAGGATGGTGATGCCCTCCAGAGCCAACATGACCACCAACTGCAGAGTTTTGGCTTTTCCTGGGATCACAGGACTCCTCAGGATCCTGCAGCTCACCTGTGTTTTGGGGTCCTGGCTCTGAGCACAGGGAGGACTCAGACACAGCCCTGCTGGACTGATTGGATGAGACCTTGGTCCCCAGTGCATTCCTAACCTACAGGCAGCAAAGCTCTGGGACTGGGATCCCATAAGACAAGGAGCCACTGCCCAAGAAATTCCCTGTCTTACCTGATGGAGTTAATGATCTTGGTGGCATCTTCCTCCGACCCCTCCACGTGGAACCCATTTGGGATACTCTTCAGGGACAACCGGCTCAGCACGTTCTCCGACCTGCTGCTGGTAATGGAGTGCCTTAGAGGGCTCCCAAAATCCCCCTCTGCTGGCTTTGCTGCTCCCTGCTCTTGCTTGTCAGCAGCCATGTGGTGAAGGGCCTCTCTCTGCTGGGCTGCCAGTTTCTGCTCCAGGAGCTCGGGGCTTTCCTTGGCCCTTTGCTGGATCAGCGGGGTGAGCGGGGCCTCAAAGCTGACACAGCTGTCGGTCTCGTCTGTGAGGGACAGCACGTCCAGAGAGTCCAGGCTGCTGTAGTATGTCCCTTTCATAAGGTCAGACTCAACAATCTTCTCGAAGGTCGAGCTGAAGCCATCCCTGATGTCTTTGAATTGAAAATGCTCCCTGTCATCGTCGCTGCAGCTCAGCTTGGCGTCGCCAGAAGCGAACCTGGACCAAAAGGGGAAACATAAAAATACTGTCAAGACAATTCCTGCCCTGTTCCACTTGGAGCTGGGAGGCAGGAGAAGAGGCAGAAATGGACCCTGTGATTACAGGCCCTTGAGACCTTTCTGTGGTTTAACCTGCTTGGTTCCTGATTTTATTACGAGTTTCTACCACTGAAAAAGGCAGAGTTTTGTGATGAGCAATCCCACAGGCCCAATCAACCCTTAATTTGCTCATGTCCCAGTAAAAAGCCAGACCTCTGAACTGGAGGCATTTGCACATGACACCTGCTACTGGATCCAATGCCAGAATGGATTTAATCTTCCTTTAAGTGTTCCAATTACAGCTACTTCAAAAGCACAAAAATCCTGAAGGCTGAGGATATTTCATCTAAGTTTGGATGTCAGCAGCAAATGTCTTTGATCCCTTTTACAGAGGAGGAAATCCAGAAGCTTTCAGGGAGCAATCCACGTGCTGTAACTTCAGCTTCTTCCCTTGGATGAGGTACCCTGGAAGTGCAAGGCTGCCTCCAAACAGTGCTCTCTCCACTGAGAGGGATGTGAAAGGTGGTGGACACACACCCAGGCTGGGGAGGCTCCATCCTGCTTTACAGATGGCCTGGGGGATTCAGGCACAGAATTACAGGCTGTGAGATGCAAGAACCTACAAGCACAGCTTCCAGGATTGCTGGATGACTGTCAGCTTGGCTTTGCATGCAGGGGCACTCATTCCAGCACACATCTCAAACAAACCCACACTGGGAGAACTGATCTGAGTCAAATCCAGCAATAGTCTCTGTCTGAGAGACCTGGAGAGCTCATGGAACAGAGCAGGACCTGCCTGAAATACCCCAGGGTCTCAGGTGAAACCTTCCTCCCCCACTCCCAGCAGCCACTGCTGCCATTTGCCCTGTCACAGTCCCACATCTCATGGGTGACACAGGTAAAAGCTATGGGAACATTTCCTCCACCTGCCACGGAGTTCACTTTCCTCACAGCAGCACATAACAGTGCTCTGGCTTGGACTTGGAACTAAAATAGCCTTTTATCTACTGCTGAACACACCTGCAGGACGGGAGATGCTCTGCCAACAGGCACTTCTTCACCCCAAGAATTCACAACCACCAAAAACTGTCATAGCATGGCAAGAACAATGGACAACTAACAGAAAATAACAGTTTAAGGAGGGAAGACTGAGAACCAGAGGAGCAAATAGCCCCTTTGTGGTACTGAGGAGTGGGCACAAGTCAGCTATCAGGCTTCTTGTTCCCCATCTCTGCAAGAAAAGTGCTCATGGAAAAGAATTCGAGCAAAGGCAGATTTTCCCGTTTCTGACGTGCCAGGGTGAGAGCCACTGAAAAACAGAGGCCAGCTGTGCTCTCGGGTTTCTTATTTCTCAGTGTGCCAAGAGCCTGAGGAACCCAAGCAGGTCAGGGCCCATGAAATGGCTGTGCCGTGCTACCCTCCCTTCCTTGAGATGCTGGAGCAGGAGAAGGGCAACCCAGCACAGCAGGGAGCAGGACAGACCCACCTGCAGGGCTGTGCAAGGAGAGCAACAACCATGTGTGGCTTACACCAGTCATGAGACCTGACAGGCCCCAAACCCCAAGTTTTTGCACCCTTTGAAGTTCCCTCTGATGTCTGAGCCACCAGAGAGGCTGTTTCCAAGCCCAGCTCTGCAGCCACATGGGTAAAAGCTTACATGATTCCAGAGACTCACATAATCCTTGACTTCAAGGATTATGGGATTCAAGGGATTCTAAAGCCTTGACTCAAGGCTTTGGAAAACTGTCACCCTGTTCATCAGAGCTGGCCATGCCCCAAAACAGCAGAAATGAGACAGAGGGCAGCAGCTCCAGCCCAAAGAGCCCTCATCCCCAGGACTGCTTGTCTTCAGAAATCCATCCTTCCCTGAAGGGTGAACTGCACTGCCTGGCCATGACAATGTGGACTGGAAAGATCCCCTTCCACAAAGCAGGAGGAACCTTAAAACCTTCATCTCCTTGTGACAGGAAGGACTTTCCAGCCTAAATTACACGCAGAGATGGGAGTTCTGGACCTGCCTGGCAGCCTATCCAGTTGCCAAACTTCTTGCAACAGCCTCTATCCCCAGTGAACTCCCATGTCCCTTCCCCTACTCAGCCTCTGTGTCCTCCATATACCAAAGAAAACCCTGGGGCTCCATGGTTTCTGCAGGTGCTCCAAGAGAGCCACAACACCACCCCTTGGCCCTCATTGCTTCAGTCCAACCACCAATGGAATGGCTTTGTGTGGGGGCACCTGTGCAGGAGGGCCCATCCCCGTGAGTTTGGGGAACAGCAGGCATTTCCAGGGTGCTGTGCACAGCAGCTGTGCCTGTGGGTGTTCTCCTGGGTGCTCCTGGCTATCACACCCATCAACAGCCGTCAAACCCCGCACCTCCTGGTTTTTACTTAGCAGGTCCCACTGCCATAACCCCAAGCCAGACAGCTCCCACCCTCTCCCCACACTGAACAGAATCATTTCCACTGACTGTTCACACCACAGACCTTCTATATTCCAGACCTTTACTTATCCCTTGAGCCCAAACTCACAGCAGGCAGCAAAAGGAGAAAGTCTGTGTCCCTGCAAATGTCCCAGCATTCCACTCCCTGCCATGGGCAGGGACACCTTCCACTAGCCCAGGTTGCTCCAAGCCCCATCCAACCTGGCCTTGGACACTTCCAGGGCTGGGGCAGCCACAGCTTCTCTGGGCAGCCTGTGCCAGGGCCTCCCCACCCTCACAGCGAAGAATTCCTTTTTTATCTCTAGTCTATCCCTGTCCTTCATCTCAAGATCATTCCCCCTCGTGCTGTCATTAGAGGCCCTTGTGAAAAGTCCCTCTCAGTGGGCATCAAGCACATCACATCTCTCCTTGCACAGTCCCAGAGAACACAGAGGACAAAGAGACTGTAGAGTTTACACTAATCCAGGAGCACCACCTGCATCCCATACAAGGAAAGCCAGGCTAAGGTAGGAGACAGGGAAAGACCTTGCTCGTGTGAATGAACCCGACATTGCCTCCCCACGGAGAGGTGTCGCCTGCTTATTACACGGCAGGGAAGGCAATTGCTTTGCTGAAATAAGGAGTTGTGCATTTATTTGCATTGCAACCACAAGGTTTTGTAAGTGTTTTGAAGGAACATGGTATTAAATTGCCTGTGCTGCCTTCCCCACCTCTGGAATGCCAGTCTGTTGCTTACAGTGAGGCACACAGAGCAGGGCACCCGGTGGTGGCTGAGCTGAACCACCCTGCTGTTGTATGCACTGAGTCGTTTACATTTCGTTTCTCACTGGTTAATTAGTTGTAATAAAGTACAGCCTGTCAGAGAATCATAGAATCACAGAACATCCTGAGTTGGAAGGGACCCACAAAGATCATCGAGTCCAGCTCCTGGCCCTGCACTGGACACCCCAACAATGTGACTCACGTTCAACCTGCTGTCACAAGTTCGCTGTGTTGGTGGAGTGGGGAAGTCCTGCCAGAGAAGCACAAGATGGAAATCAGGATTTTCTTGCCTTGGCACCGCAGGCTTTTTGCAAAGTTTCTCTGAAATTTCATACGATGGAATTTGAATTTTTCAACAGCTATAGGTTGCCATGGGACGAATTTTGCGGGCAAAGGCTGCAGTCCCAAAACTGCAGGGACTAAGTGTGTCTACAAGTCAAACGTGGGGTTTTCTCTATTAAAATTTTGACTTTTTTTTCCATGAGTCCATGGGGCTGAAAGCAGAGAGTATCATCCCCTGGTGGGCTCTCAGTTTGGCTGCAGAGCTGTGACCTCCCTGAGAGCAGCAGGGCCAATGTTGGGGGCTTCTGGGAAGGTGAAAGATCTCTAGCCAACACAGCCACCATGACAGGAACACGGGGGCTTTGACAAAGGGTGTGTCAGTCTGGCAGTGGATGCCACGGGATAAATCAGAAAGGGGAAAAAGGGATTCAGTTAATGACAAACTGCAGCACAAGCACTAAAGCTTTGGCTGTATTTCCTGGAGTTTTTTACCAACCATGTCCTGCACAGACACACTAACCTGCCTTCAGCAGGGCAGTCATGGCTCTTTTCTCCAGCTCCACCATGGAGTGAAGACCTTGGATGACTTTTCCCCCTTTAATTCCCCGTTGGTTCTGCAGGAAGAGCAGGACTCATCCCCTCCTTCTGAAGTACTTCAAAATTCAGGGACAAAATGCATCCAGCAGCAATATGTGGATGATGACGAGTGATTTGTCATCAGGAACAAATACTTGACTGCTCATCAGCAAAGCATCAGGCCGGGTTCTCCTATATCCAGAATGGGTCATTGCAGAAACTGCAACTCCCCAAAGGGAGAAAAAAAAACCTGGGGAAAACTCCGAGGTGATGCAGGATGACAGTGACTTCCCAGTGCCTCGGTCCATCTGTCAGCTTCGCTCTTCCTGACCCACACTGATCCAGGAGAGCCAGACAGTCCACACAGGCAGGGCAGACCAGCTCCCTGCTGTGCTTGGCCCAGCCACACGTTTCTGCCATTTAGCCCAAAGAGTGGTGGTCAAAGTCCTAATGAGCTCGAACACGGCGAGCTCACCCCATCCGCAGGCAGTAAGTGCTTTCCCAGATTTCAGCTGCGTCCCTGAAGTTTTCCAGCTGCCCTTCTGCCTTTGAATATAGCGTGTGACTTGTCCCTTGTGCATTCAGCTTCCCAAAAGGCTTATTTGCTATCCAAGTGAATATGTTTAGAGCATAAGATCACGGGCTGTGCATGCAGAGCCCAGTCAGGTTGCATCATCTCCAAATCCTCAGCCTGCCACTTCTCCCAATTCATGCCCAAGTACCTTAAAATAATTGCACTTCCAGTGATTGCAGCAGCATTCTCTGACCACTCCTAGCTTCCTCTTGAACTCATAGCCTCTGCCAGGGAGCCACCTACCAAGCAAATATGATTCCCTTGAAACCTGAGAGACTTGCAGATATTCAAGATCTGCCTGCATAGCTTATAGGGCTCGTGGGACCTGCCTGGGGACAGGCTCCCTGAGCTCTCCACACGGCAGCAGCCTGCACTGGATACTCTTCAATACCTTCAGCTGTGTTTATTGGGACGGTGCTGCTGCTTCTTGTGGGAGGCTTTGAGTAAAACAAACCACCAGGTTTTTATAGGGGAGCCTGTTCAACACCGGAGAGGCAAAGAAGGAGGGACTCCTGCTGTCAGCCCACACCCTGTGTGGCTCCCCAGCTCTGCTGACACTCCTGCCCACGCTCCGAACAACCAGCTCAGCCTGGAGCCTGCACTGGGCTAATGCCATGAGCTGTTCCACAGGCCACCTCGGCCACCCTGTCCTTTCCACACCTTCTCTTCAGAAGGCCATGCACCTTTGAGACACCTGTTCCTCTTCTCCAGCCCCTCCTGCTTGCAGCATCTCTCCCACCCCGGGGTAGGTACACAGGCAGGGCTATAAAATTCACAACGGGCATCAAGCCTGGGGGGCTAGAATTCCAGAGCCCTGGCTGATTTCTGGTGGCAAAGGGAAGCATCCATACCACTCCCATAAGAATGGCATGGGAAGCACCCCACCTCATCCCAGTGACCAGTCATTCCCCCTCACCCCCAACCTGCAGAGCCACAGGGAGGTCTAGAAACTTGCAGAGGCATAAAATCTTCCCCAGCCTGGAGAGTCCTCCTGTGAGCCAGGCTGACAGCAGAGAGGACTCCGGGACCGAGGGGCATTGCACGTGTGCTGGTTTGTCTCAGGCACTTGAGAGTAGGATGACACTCATATCTTTTGTCTCACACTGCTGCCCCTGTGCCACCCAGGCACTGGTAACACCTGTCACAGCTGCAGCAGAGGGCAAAGCTCAGTGCCTTGCCCTCTCCTGGATGCACAGCTGTCACCTGCTAGCCCAGGGACTGCCAGAACTAGCCATACTGACAGGGACTTCCAGAGCACACCGATCCCCCCAGACAAGCCTGACTCTACACCATCCCCAGGCTCTTCTACTTGCCCTAAATAATCTCAGGTAACTCTGCCCTAAGTGCTGCAGCTGAATTCCCAACTTGTGAGACACGCCCAAAGTGAGCACAACCGGCACCCAGCACCCTCGAGATCCCAAAAGCTTCTCCTTCACATTAGTGACTCTGCGGGCTGGCTCTAATCACAGCTTTTCTGCATTTGCAAGAGGGAAAAACTGCGTGAGAAGCCCAGAGAGAAACGTCATAAACAGGGGAAAACTCTGTGAGAAGCCCAGAGAGAAACAAGAGGGAACAGCCACAGTCAGCCATGAGAGCAGCTGCAGCTTCTTAAACTGATGAGTTACACACGGAGCAGAGTAACTCGAACCAAGGAGCCTTGAAAACAACCCACACATAAACCAGCCCTGAGCCGACGGCTCCGCACTCACCCGAACTGCTCCTCAGCCTCGTCAGCGCTGAGAGCCTCCGAGGATCCCAGGACGCTGTGCCACCTCTCCTTGCTCAGGGCCCCTCTAGGTATCTCCGGGCTGGGGGAGCCCCTCTCCCCCAAATCCGGGCTGCTCCGGCTGGGAATGTCCCCGTCCTGCTGCTGCTGCTGCTGTGGCTGCTCCGGCCCCGTGACCGGCGCTGTGTCCACCCCGTTGGCCAGCACTGCCCCGTCCTCAGGGGGGCTCTGGCTGGCAGCGCCTGTCCCTTGTCCCTGTGCCTCGCTGTGCCTCTCGCCTGGCTCTGTCACCGCTTCCAGATGTTCGTCCCGCGGGGCCCCGCGCTCCCCCTCCGCTCGGGAGGGCTGAGCATTATCGCGCCGGGGGCTGGCTCTGCCGCTGGCAGGCTCCGGGGGCTGGCCGAGCTGCTCGTCCCCATCGCTGCAGGACGGCGGGGCCGCCGGCGAGCCCGAGGAATGCGGCTCGCACTCCTGGCGCTCGGCGGACCGTGGAACGGGGCTGCTCTCGCTCATGTTCCGCTCGTTGTCCCAGCGCTTGCGGGACCGCTCCCCGCGCTCAGCTCAGGCTCGGCACTACCTACAAGGGAAAAGAAAGCGTGTCATGGACACCGGCAAGGGCTGTCAGAACGGCACGGGATTTTGATAGCACCAGGGTAGCGATCTGAAGCCCCCACTCCTCCGCAAAAATAAGGAAGGACCTTAGAGACCCACTGGGCACAGGGAGATCCAGAGAGGAAAATATGCCCTTGAGGCCCTGAGACATCGGGGCCCGGGCACCCACCTTCTCCTGCTGTCCCCATAACCCCTGTGGACACCTGCCAGGGTCTGTGCTCCTGTTCAAAGGCAGGAACCCTTCCTAGCCAGCACCTCCTGCCTTCATCACACGGAGAGCTGCATCCACGAAGCTGGAGGAATAGCTGCAGGGGTTCACTTGAGGCTTTGGCGCTTTACACTTGAAGGCTTGCTTCTCCAGAGTTTGGGTTATCTGCGGTGCGGAAGGCAACCCCAGCCTCAGCACAAGAGACCTGTCCCACGCAGGCTGTTAGTGCCCAGGGCTGGGGACAGGAATGTGGCACTGCTGCCTTTCCCGGGCTGGCTATCAGGGTGCTACTCCCTAGTATTCCCCTCCTACCAGAAATAGGAGAAATAGGTAAAGCAGGCAATAGGTGTGATTTATTCTTTTTCTAACACTTCAAAGCAGCTGTGACGTGCCAACCTGTGTGATTCTCCCTGCTGACTTGGCAGTTCTGCAGAGCATCCTGCCTGCCAGAGCACCACTTCTCCTTTCCCGGCACACAAGTGCTGCTGAAGGGTGTCACAAGCTGCCAGCTAAAACTCTGGCAAAAGCGTCCTGATTGAATGTACCCTGGGATGCTCTCTCTGTAGGGCAAGGGAAGGACGCTTGTCTCATTGCACCAAACAAGACAAGTAGCTTTTCGACTAAAAAAAAAAAAAAAAAAAAAAAAAAGATACTTTATTGGCCAACATGCCTGTTGATGCAAAGCTTGCAAGTCTTACGAGCACCATCCTTGGCTGAGGGCTGTAGCCCCACAGTGCCATGTAAGCTTTTCTCCATGGTAATCCCCCCAGTTGCAATCCAGTGCCACCAGAAATACTTCTGGAAGCAGGAGTATTCTGTATGGCCCCCAGGCTGGGCCACTGTACCAGCTGATTTTGGTTTGAAACAATATGTGTCTTCACAGATATTTTTAAAACATTATGTGTCTTCGTGGGGTTGTCCAGCCTAGAGGAAACAAAGCTCCAGGGAGACCTTAGAACCCCTTCCAGTGCCTAAAGGGGCTCTAAGAGAGCTGGAAAGGGACTTTTCACAAGGGCACAGAGCGACAGGACAAGGGGGAATGGCTTCACACTGACAGAGAGCAAGTTTAGATTAGAGTTTAGGAAGAAATTCTTGACTGTGAGGGTCGTGAGGCAGTGGAACATGTTGCTCAGTAAAGCAGAGATTATAACCTCTTCTCTGAGCAGCCATGAGGGTGTCCAGGGGTCAGCAATGGGCTCTGGGTGCTCTGACTTGCTCAGCAGCAGTTCTCATTAGCAGGACAATCACTAATTGCTTGGCCAGCTCAGCGCTCTATCAGTTCATGGTAACAAGGAGTGCAGGGCTGCAACTGCCTCTGCCCTTACAACCCCTCACCCTGTGGAGATGTCAGCAGCCTCCTCCTTGCTGCCAGTTCCTCTTGAGCAAGAGAAAGATGGAATTTGGACCCAGACACTCCTCTACAGCCTGGGTATGGGCAGATCCACACAGGTATGTGCTGAGCTGCTGGCTGAGCAGGACAGATCGTGAGGGGAACCCCAATTTCTGGCTGACTTTGCTCCGGTCCCACAGCCCAGGCAATCCTGGATCTTGGATCTAACCCTGCCTCTGTGTTCTGTTCCCACAGCTGGGAGGAGTGGGGAGCTCCGCAGGGACGGGTTTGTGGTGGAGCCCTCCTCAAGGGTTGCACATGCCAGGGTCATGAGACGGGGCAGGTCCCTCCTGGAGGCAACGCCGGCAGTTTTACCTCTCCTCCAGGCGCATCCGTGAGCATCCCCCGCCGTCACAGAGCGCGCAGCATCGCCACACCTACCGCAGCCGCTGCAGCCCGGAGCTCCCGATCCCGGCACGGCCCCTGCCTGCAACGAGGGAGCACAGACAGTGAGACCCAGGCCAGAGAGGAGATTCCTGCTGATCTCCTGCCACCCTGCTGCTGCTCCACATTGGGCTGTTTCCCCGACCCACCCCAGGGTCTGCTCTCTGCAGAGCACTGCAAGGTGCTCTCCCCTCGGCACAAACCTCCCTGGCTTTCAGACATGGCACTACAAGAGTATTCCTCACGTAGGACTTCTGATATCTTATGAACGCCCCCTTGACCAGCTGAAGCAGAGCAAAGGGACTCTGTGATTGCAGGTTTCAGGAGAAACTTGGTGATGATCCCACTGAATGTCCAATTTCACCCACCAGATCCAGAGAGGAAGACACCTGTGTCATGGATTGATCCCCCCACCAGCCCCACCAACAAACCAAGAGCCAGGTTAGAGGTTTTGAAGCTTTTGGTTAGCTGTGAAAGCCACTGATGTTGCAGCATTTCCCCAGCAGGGTGTTTTGTACAACACAGGAATGGGCAGTGATGCCTCCCTGTGAGGTGACTCCCGGTTGGAGGAGCATGCCAGGTCACCAGTGATGGTGTGTCACCTGCAGACAGCTGCCTGAGGTCGTGGGCCAGACTTGCACAGAGTTGATGGAGACAGAGAGACAGGGCACTGCTGCCTGTGTGCTCCTAGAGGCGATGGGTGGATCAGGCTCCAGATGTGCCACCTGCTTTCCAGTGGCTGGAAAGAGCCCACGGAGGAGATTGGCAGCAAATATTTGTCGAGTCCCTGTGGAGGGATGTGCTTACACCCTCTCTTGGGCTTGCCCTTGCAGGCCTTCAGCCTCATTCTGTGCCAGCCTGACAAGAGAAAGGCCAGCCTAGACTTCCTTGGACACCAGCGCATCAGCCTCCTGAATCCCACCTGCAGGAGCTGAGCCCTCACAAGGGGAGTCAAAACAAGCCCTCAGGTTCCCACATATGGGCCAAGTCTCTTCTAGCTTGTCCTTCTGCCATCCAAATGAAGATGGAAAACCTGTAAATCTTTTTCTCACCAAATCCAGGACAGAAAATCAGTCCCAGGCACTTGGTGTTTCCATTTACTGGCAGCAGGGCCAAGCCAATGCAGCATCTTCCAGGAATTTACTTGCAAAACTACCAACACTGTCCTGAGCATAACCACACTGTAACCTCAAGAAAAACTGAAACCCTAACATGGGCCAAATTTTAACTTTACCACAGTGAAGGTATAATACAAACACGCAACACTGATCCACTGCTCAAATCTTTGGAAGAGCTTTTCCAGCAAAGCTTTGCTGGTCTTTTCCTTAACATGTGGCTTTTTTTTTTTTTTTTAGTCCATTTTTTTAAAAACTAGCCAAAGGGTTTGGGCTGAAATTCCCTGCCATCCATCCAAAAGCTTCAGTAGGAACAAGACACCACCCAAGCTGAATTCCAGTCCAATAGCTCAAGCTTGGCACAGCTGTATGCAACCAGAAAACAGGAAACTAAAAGCAGTTAGGAGACAGGCCTGAGTAAGAAATATTGGCAAACCTTAGTAAGTGATGTCCCAGCCATCCCTCCTAACTTTAACCAACTCACATTTTTAATATAAAAAAATAAATAACATTTTTGTTATTACTGCATTATGCCACTGTTTCACCCTCTGTGAAGTCTCCCTGGGATGTTTGTGGTTTGGAAGGAAGGCTGAGGAGTCAATAGTTAAACCCTTAGTCATGCTCTTCCATGGCCTGGGTTCCTGCTGGAACCGGGGAAGCCCTGGCAGGATGCAGGGACAGACTATTGCTGAGCCAGGACGACCATCCCATTCCAGTGTTTCCAAGCTGGGAGCTGAGCAGAGTCAGGAGGAGAGATCCAGGCCTCTCCCAGCCTCCTGACCCTTTTGAGGTTTGCATGTCTCCTGCTGGTTCCACATTCCACTGCCCACACCTGCAGGGAGGCTGCCCTGGGCACCTGAAATCTGCAGGCAAGCTGGGTGTGTATCAACACCACAAACTACCCAACAAGGCACCAGCTACTTGATTTATGCTTGCAGTGACAGCCACTGGAAGCACACACAGGTTAGGAGTGGCTGAGGCTTCCCAGAAACTCCAGAGGAACCATGAGGTTGGATTGTAAATGGAACTGGAGTCCGTGGCTCCATTCCCAGCTCCTCGTGGCGATGCCTTGTACTGAAGTCACAACACCAACTCCTGCCACACCCAGCCAGGCAGCCCAGCCACATCCCACATCATCTGCAGAGGGTCCCTCCCACCCTACAGTCCATCCCATGACCTGCTGCCATCCCCACCTGCGTGGGGAAGGAATATGGGCAAAGGGAAGAGGAGACAGGCTGTGGGGACACAGCTTGGACAACTTGGAAGACAAACCATGGTGGAACAGCTGGTTGCAACTGTCCACATCTGCCTCCAGCAAACAGCTGAAAGTTCACCAGTTCTGGACAAAGCCCCAAAACAGGCTCTCAACACTGTTCTGTCTGCTCTGGAAAGCACTGAAATGCAGCTCGACCTCTGGCCTAAAGCTGTCACAGCTTCAGCCAGGCTGTTGGGAGGGGACACGCTGCAGCACTGGGGGAAGGGACGGTGGGGGCTGGCATTCAGAGATTCCCCTTTGGGGCTCCTTTTGCTCCCCCAAAGCGTTACAGCCCGGCTGTGTTGGACTGCAGGCTGGTATTCCCCAAATCCCCACTCATTTCTTCTTGTTCCTGCTTTGCAAAGTGTTCTCCAATGCAGGTAAGGGCTGGAAGGTGATATGTGCATTCCCAACAGTGGATTTTCACAAGTCTTGTCCTTTCTGCAGGCTCAGGCACCCTCTCAAGTCACTGCTGCTTCCCCATATCCTGTGGGTAGAGTGGGCAACCCTTGCATGTCCACTGTTCCCAGCCATGGTCCACGGGTTAGCATAGAAAAAATGGTTCTGGAAAGAAAAAGTGGTGAGCTGTCATATATTCCAGCCAGGACTGGGCACAGTGATGGAGCTGCTGAGTAGTAGAGATTTGTTAAGCAGGAGCTCCATGATTTGGACCAGACCAGCTCTATAAGGCCCACATAAGCAGAAGAAGATGGATTCATGCTAGAAAGAGGCTATTGTTGCTGTAGGAGATGCTAAAGAAGCCAAGGCATCCCTGATTCATTGCTAACCATGGCCTTTCCATCTCCTTCCCAGAGATGGGGCTTGGTGGGAGAGATGGGACAGAGGCTGAAGGGATTGAGGACCCCATCCCTGTGGACTTTGATGCTGCCCTCTCCTGCAGGCCAGACCCAAGCAAGCCAACTGCTACTGGCTCCATTTACCAGAATCCCAGCAACGCCAGCTCACCACTGGGATGTGCCCAGGGCCACAGGATAGCACAGCCACCAGCTCCCTGCTCCAGCCCCGGGTCTTGCACGGCTCCTGGACCACAGGGAGACAGGGTAGGGCTGGTTGGGAGTGAAGGAGAGCAGAAACACCCCATTCCATGATGGCTGGATTTGCAGGAGGGCCAGCGAAGCCGGGCTGGCATCCACTGCAGGGAAGCCCCAGTCCCAAAGAGGCCGGGCAGAGATGCAGCAAAGTTTGCCCTGATTGTGTGAGGGGTTGGAAACCACACAGCAGCTCTTTCAGGGACTGGCTCTGGAAGTCTCCCAGCTTTTGTTGAAGCTGAATGGCTGGTGGGAAATGATTTATTTTTAATTTTCTTCCCTGCGTTCGGAACTGGAAAGGCTCCCACTTCAGTTTTGTGTAACCACTTGGCTGCTGCAACACAGGAAGGCTTGGAGAAGAATCCTGCTGCTTAGTGGAGCATGAGCTTTTCCTCAAGCTCATGCTGAGCTGGGCTGCTTCCTGCAGCAGCCTTGCTTTTCCTTGCTGCCCCTCATCCCATTCCTCTGGCTTGGTGAAGATAGAATCAGTGAATGGTTTAGGTTGGAAGAGACCATCTAGTTCCACCCTCTTGCCATGGGCAGGGACACCTTTCACTATCCCAGGTTGCTCCAAGCCCCATCCAACCCCTGGAAACTTCCAGGGATCCAGGGACAGCCACAGCTTCTCTGGGCAACCTGTGCCAGGGCCTCCCCACCCTCACAGGGAACAATTCCTTCCCAACATCCCATCTAACCCTGTCCTTTGGCAGTGTGGAGCCATTCCCCCTTGTCCTGTCACTCCATTCCCTTGTGAAAAGTCCCTCTCCAGCTCTCTTGGAGCCCTTTTAGGTACTGGACCTTTAAGGTCTCCCTGGAGCTTTCTCTTCTCCAGGTGAACCATCCCAATTCTCTCAGATCTTCCTCATAGCAGAGGTGTTCACGAGGGGTCTGTCCTCATCCTGGCACCACAAGATGTGCAGGGGGTGAGGAGGAGGCGCATTCTGATGTGGCTCCTGTGGTGCTGGGAGTGAAGGAGAAAACAAGGAAATTCTCACCAGAACAGCTCAGAGTCAGATCAGACAGCAGGGAGTGGGCAGTGGGGATGTCAGGAAAGGAAAGGGGTGGCAAAGCAAAGTACCCTGCTCTGGGATATGCTGGGATGCAGATTCCAGAGGAAGGAGGACTCTGGGACCTCCCACCTGCTTGTGTGCAGCCTTGGGAGATGCAGGGCACGACTGACCCTTCTGGGTGTTTCAGTAAAATTGTAGCGGAAGGTCTCACCCAGAACATCACCCTGCTCTGCTGGACCGAAGGTGGGGGCAGTGCTGAGAAGGGCTGTTGTGGTCCTTTCCCAAGTCCTCCAGCAGCATTCCTGGTGCTATCAGGGATGAGGCAGTTCTTGTGAGTGTTCTCAGCACATTTTCTCCCGGTGCACAGAGGTGCAGGCTGTCAGGAAGGGGAAGAGAGAAGTCTGTGCTGCCTCTCAGGTGCCACCAGCCCCTTGGCCTTGTGAGTCCATGCAGACACCTGGAGGCACATCCAACCCAAGCTTCAGTTTGTGTATTTCTGTGTTGTACTTGGAGGTCCAACACCAGCATGGAGTGTAATTGTGGACTCACAAGACAAGCCCTGGACAGTGGGGACAGCTCTTGCCTCAAGCTGCTGGCTGTGCCCTTGCTAACAC